AAAAGTCCACTGTCTGTTTCTTGGCCTTTTCTTCCCCCTATGAGGAACATCCCCAGACGGGGAAGCATCTATCCCAACATGCTTCTATTACAGGCTGAAAAGAGGCCAATTTGGTTACATAAGAACAGTCATTTAGAAAAGTCTTAAAAATGTATGTTCCTTTGTAGCTGAGTTGGGCTAAACATAAAAGCCATTTGAATCTAAAAGTACACATTCTTTCTCTCCTCTCCTCCCACCCTCCACACTCACTGCTCTCACCCATCCCCTTCTCCTCTCCTAGCACCACATTGTCTGACTGGGCTGGAAGGCCACTCTTACCCCCACTGCTGGTGCTGAAGAAGAAAAAGCCAGCAAGCCAGCCCACCTAATGACTAAGAGAGTGGACCAAGGCTGACAGAAGTATGTCTGAAAGCTCGGAGAGGGCACTGCTCACTTCCCCTTCACCTGTGAATACAAGGACATCGGACTATTACAGGCCAGGGTTCTGGGAATGAAAGACTGTTACAATTATGTTTAAAACAATTTTAAAGCAGCCTGCAGTGGCCATGAGCATTTTAAATGTTGTGACTTTCCCTTTTGTCCAAAAATTGCAATTGTCTGCCCCTTCCTCTAAAAAGACTGTAAAAGAACACACTGCAAATTCCAAAATGTTATCTAAAATGGCAGCTGACCAGGAGACTTTGTGTCATGTCAGTGATCACATATAAACAATTTTCCATGTAAGTCTTGAGTCATGCTACAACTGTACATAGGCTTCAAACCTGGGGTGGGCGAAGGGCTATGAATTTGGGGTATAAACACTGGAATGAATTTGTGTTGCTTGGAGCAGGCTTTTTGGCAGTGATGCCAACCCATCTTCCTATAATCTGGTTATTGAAGTTAAACACTCCCTTTTCTCCACCCCCAAAAAAAATTAGACAAAAAAATCAACAAGGTAAGTAAAAGAAGTCAGAAGAAACAAAAAAAAAAAACAGAAATAAAAAATAAACAAATATAGAAAGGACCAACATTAAAAGCTAGTTCTTTGAAAGGATTAATTGAACTGATTAATTCCCGGGGGGCTGATCAAGGAAACAAATAAAAAAGCACAAATAAGCAATGTAGGAATACATTAAGAAAAAAGAGGATATTAGTACAGATCCCATAGACTTTAAAAGATAACGGAGGTGAGAGGATTGCCTGAGCCCACAGGTTCGAGACAAACCTGGGCAACATGGCAAGACCGCGTGTCTACAGTAAGTCAAAAAATTAGCTGGGCATGGTGGTAGTGGTGGCACACGCCTGTACTTCCAGCTGCTTGGAAGGCTAAGGTGGAAGGATCGTCATGAACCCAGCAGGTTGAGGCTGCAGTGGCCATGAGCATGCCACTGCACTATATATCCTGGGTAACAGAGTGAGACTCCGATTTAAAAAAAAAAGATAACAGGTGTGATGAAAATACCATGGCTCTTGTTGTGAATTTTTCAAAACTGATTAAAAAGTACACTTAACATATAAGCATATCACTGTAAGTAAATTATATCTCAGTGAAAAAAGATAATGAAAAGACACTACAAACAAGTTAATGACAATATGTTAGAAAAGTTAAATACAACTCAACAAAAATGCTGATAAAAGTAAAAGAAAATGTCAACAGTCCTAAAACTATTTGGACTCATAATTTAAACACAAAGAAAACTCCAGAATTCACTCTAGTGAATGCTACCAAACATTTAAGAAATAAGGCCAATCTCAAACAATCCAATTACAGGTCAATGAAAAAGAATACAACTCAACCTATTTTATGAAGTTGACATAGCCTTGACATCAACCTGATAAGAATATTACAAGCCAATGTTACACAAAACATAAATGAAAAAAAATCTTAAACAAATACTGGCACACAGACTCTAGCAACATGTAAGAAGAATAATAAATCATGACTAAGTTGAAATATACTATATAGTATGTAATTTAGGAATTACATTTAGGTATACAATTCACTATACAGAATAGAATAAGAGAAATATCACATCATCTAAGCGGATATCAAAAGGGTATACGGAGAATTTTTAAAAGGAGTAAACGAGAAATCCAAGAAAGTTCCTTAATCTGAATGAGAGGTATCTACAAAAAAGTCTACAGCAAACATCATACTCAGTGGTGAAATGTTGAAAACATACTTTGAGTCAAGGATGTTCACTACAAATATTTCTATTCAACAATATACAAGTCCTAGTAAATAAAGAAATAAAAATAAATTTTTTTAAATGTTCAGATTGGAAAGAAAAAATAAAACTGTTGATATTTGTTTTAGATGATGACTTATATATGGAAAATCCAAAAGTATATACAAATTATTAGAATTAGTGAGTTTATTAACAAAGCAGTTGAGTACAATAAAAAACAATCACAATTTTACATACAAAGGAAATCAACATTTTTAAAAAACTAAAGATGTGAAAGGTATCTGAAGAAAACTATCTATACTATAGAAATAAATTAAACACAACCCAAATATAAAACCATAACAAGTGATTTTTTTTCCTCCTGAACCTGACAAGCTGACTCTAAAATACATATGAGAAAACAAAAGAAGAGAATACTCTAAGACACTCTTGAAGAAGAATAAGGTGGGAGGACTTGATTTACTGGGTATCAAGACTTACTAAGCTAGTAATTTAGATATTGTAACATGAGGTGTGAAGATAGACAAGCAGACCAATGAAATAGAGTCATGCATATAATCTGACAAAATGTCTGACAAAGATGGCAATGCAGAGAAGGGTGCTGTGTTTACAAAAAAAAAAAAGCTGAAACAACTGTATACCCACAGAGAAAAGTGACAGCTGAGCTCTATCTCACACCATACATTAAAAAAAATTCCAGTGGAAATATAGATCTGAATATAAAAGGCAAAACAATAAAACTCACATAAAGAGCATCTTTATGACCTTATTTTCCATGAAGAAAAATACTGACCCACTGGACTATGAAAAATATCATTAATAGTCAAAGTGGGAAATTTTGCAAACATCATACTTCGTGATATTTTGAGTCCAGGATGTACACTAACAAAACTAGCAAAAGATATTCTTTCTAATAATCTACCTACCTACCTACCTATCTATCTACAGAATGCTTACAAGATATAAATCAAGAAAAATCCAAAGAATTCAAATCCTTAAGCATTTTACAAAAGAGAGTATTTATTTTTAATTTTTTTAGTCAGAGTCTTACTCTGACTAAAAAAAAAAAAGTACACTTTTTACTTATTTTTGTTTTTGTATTGAAGTCTCACTCTGTTGCCCAGGCTGGAGTACAGTGGCACACTCACGCCCATCGCAGCCACAGCCTGCTGGGTTCAGGCGATCCTTCTGCTTCAGCCTTCCAAGTAGCTGGAACTATGGGCATGCGCCAACATGCCCAGCTAATTTATTTCATTTGTTGTAGAGACAAGGGCTTGCCATGTTGCCCAGGTTGGTCTCGAACCCGTGGGCTCAGGCCATCCTCTCGCCTCCGCCTCCCAAAGTGCTGGGATTACAGGCGTGAGCCAACGTATCCAGCCAAGAGTACATCTTTTATGATTCTACTTAGAGGAGAAGAAAACAGGCAAACTAAACTAGTGTTTAAGAATACATGCTTAGGCTAGGCTCAGTGGCTCAGCCTGTAATCCCAGCACTTTGGGAGGTCAAGGCAAGTGGATCGCCTGAGCCCACGGGTTCAAGACCACCCGGGCAACTTGGTGAGACCTCGTCTCTACAATAAATCAAAAATTAGCTGGGCGTGGTAGAGCGTGCCTCTAGTTCCGGCTACTTGGAAGGCTGAGGCGGCTGGGAGTGTGCCACTGCATCCAGCCTGGGCAACACAGTGAGATTCCAACTAAAAAAAAACCCACACACTTAAGTGGTAAATCTATTTAGCAAATGGAGTGATTACCATAAAAATCAGGATGCTAGATACCTTTGTTAGGGATGAAGGGTGTTTTCTGGGATGCTAATAATGTTGTGGCATATGGGCATTTGTTTTGTAATAATTCCTTGATATATATGAATATGTATATAATTGCATATTTTTATTTTGTGCATTTTTAATGGATGTCGTATCATGATAAAGGTTTAAAAATCTTTAAACACACTTAAGCAAAACAAAATTCTTAAAATATGTGAAATACGTATCTAAAACACTTAAACTACAATCTCACCTCTGAGAAATGCTTGGCATTAATAAACAGTGATTCAGTTAACCTTCTTGAAACACACCATGGTTTCTGACTTTAAAAAAAAAGAAACTGATATGATATTCTACATTGTGTATCCAGAGCTATTTAGCTCCTACAGGAGAAAACCAAATTGATCCTATCAGACAGAGAAAGAAATTTATCAGATTAACTTGAGTGCAAAATAAAAAGACACAGCAATGGTTCAGAGAGACCGTGTCCTTCTTCCATTCCTCTCACCCACCAACATCAGGTCTATGACATTTTTCACTACCGATAAATGCCTTTTCTTCACTTCAGATAAAAATCTCACACACACAGCCGGGTACGGTGGCTCAAGCCTATAATCCCAGCACTTTGGGAGACCAAGGTGAGAGGACTGCCTGAGCCCATGGGTTCGAGACCAGACCAGGCAACTTGGTGAGACCTTATCTCTACAATAAATCACACAAATTAGCAGGGCATAGTAGCACATGCCTGCAGTTCGGCTACATGGAAGGCTGAGGTGGAAGGATTGATTGCCTGAGCCCAGCAGGTTCAATGGTCGATGGGGTGGCCGTAAGCATGCCGCTGCACTCCAGTGTGGGTGATGGAGTGAGTCTCCAACTCAAAAATCAATCTCTCTCTCTCTCTCTCTCTCTCACACACACACACACACACACACACACACACACCCCTCTCCATGAATAAACATGATACTGTCTTAGAGAAAAGAGATTTGAAGACATAAATAGTACTTCATTTTCTGACATAACGCTGTATACCCGTCACTGAAAGTTAGCCATAAAAAATGGACACTTACTTGATCAAGATTTGAAAGGCTGTTAGGATCCTGACTCAGACCTTGGTACTGTCCCCTGAGTCTGTCACCAGCAGCTATTTTCCTAAACTTCTTCAGATCCACAACATACAGTGCACTGAATAAAGAAGACCCATTTGTTACAACCAACCATGAATTATGACAGAAAAACCAATCCCACTGGATAATGGAACAGATAACTCACCAAACATTCTGGCTTCTCTTCAAAAAGGTAAGGTACAGCCATACAATAGCTAAAGGTCAGTATGTGCTGCTTCAAAAATGTCTAAGAAGGTCATTGCAAAACCTGTACTCTGTCACTACTTGCTTATTTTGCCACTGTTCTTTATTTATCTGCCATTCAAAAGAAAAAATCTCTACTGAAAGATTTTCAGCAAATGTAGCAGAGTCACTAATAAAAGCTATAGTAATGGGTAACCAACAGTTAATCAAAGATATCCTGATGTCGCAAATGTTACAGGGGGAAAAACCACACAGTGTTACAGTTCTTGAGGTTCTTTTGGACCAGAAACATAAAATATGAAACAGCAGTCACCACATCCCAACACTTATCTTTGTATGCGCCACTTTCTGCAAGTGCCCCTACCCTCCACATCTTCCAAATCATATTCTCCCAGAGAAGATAAAGCGGTGCTCATTAGAAATGCAACAAATACACACAGTTTGACCTAAGAGATCTACTTCTAGAAATTTATTCTACAAACATACCTGAAATATGCAAAATGATGTATTTAGAGGAGAAGAAAACAGGAAAACTAAAGTAGCGTTTAAAAACACATGCTTAAGTAGTAAATCTATTTTTTTAAAAAACCATACAAGTCAGATGCTAGATACCTTTGTTACGGATGAAAGGTGGCTTCTGGGATGCTAATAATGCTCTGTTTCTTGGATTGGGTTATGGCATATGAGTATTGCTTTGTAATAATTCCTTGATATATACTGATGTGTATTTGCCTATTTTTTATTCTGTGTATTCTTTATGGATGTCACATATCACAAAAAAAGGTTTAAACATTTTTAAGTTCCTATGCACCACAACATTGTAAGTCATAGGAAAAGACTATCAATAACACACTGATACACTGAAATAAAATGCAGCTGTAAAAACAAGTAAGGTCCCACTATATGCTGATAAGGCCCGTAAGACATTAAGTTAAAAAAGCGAGTCACCTGCCTATCTCATAAAAAAAAAAATTAACTCAGGATGGATCAAAGACTTAAATGTCAGACCCAAAACCATAAAAATCCTAGAAGAAAACCTAGGGAAAACACTTTTGGACACTGACCTAAGCAAAAACTTATGGCTTAAACCCCAAAAGCAAATGCAACTAAAACAAAAATAAATAAATGGGACTTAATTAAACTAAGAAAAAAAAAGCGAGTTGCAAAACTGTGTAAATAGGTGATATATTTTGTGTAAAAAAGAATATACAGTCACAGTTGTTTATGTAAGAATAAAAAACTCTGGAAGAATACAGTAAAGAAAGCAGGGAGGTGAATTGTTGTAGGGGTTGGAATTGAGCAGGAGAGACACAGGATTAGGGAGATTTTTTTTTTGCCTGTATATTTTAAAATACATTTTATTATTTATTTATTTAAATTTTTCGACTTGAGGTCTTTTTCTACTGTATATATATATATTTTTTTTTTTGAGTTGGAGTCTCACTCTGTCACCCAGACTGGAGTGCAGTGGCCGCTCCCGGCCACCGCAGCCTTGACCTGTAGGGCTCCGGTGATCCTTCTGCCTCAGCCTTCCAAGTACCTGGAATTACAGGCATGTGCTACCACGCCCGGCTGATTTTTTGATTTATTGTAGAGATGAGGTCTCGCTGCCCAGGCGGGTCTCGAACCTGCGGGCTCAGGCAATCCACTCACCTCAGCCTCCCAAAGGCGCGGGATTACAGGCTGAGCCACCGAGCCCAGCTTTACTGTATATTTTAAATATGTTTTTATTATTTATTTGCTTAAATTTTTTGACTGGAGGTCTCGCTCTGACACCCAGGCTTGGAGCGTAAGGGCACTGATCACTGCAGTCTCAAACTCCTGGGCTCAAGCAATTCTCCCTCCTCAGCCTTCCAAGTAGCTAGGAATACAGGTGCATACCACCACGCCTGGCGTTTTTAAAAGAGTTTTTAAAAACTCTTTGCTGAGAGGAGGTCTTGCAGGGTCACTCAGGTTGATCTCGTACTCCTGGGCTCAAGTGACCCTCTGCCTCAGCTTCCCAGAGTGCTGGGAGCCAACACCCAGACAAACTTTTATCTCTGAACCACATTAACGCATTGCCCGTTCATAATTTCAGTCACACAAAGCCAATTTCAAAGAAAAGAAGTCCACACGGCAGTGTCCAGGGTGCTCCCCTCCAGGTACCTGATGTGATACTTTCGCCCAGCTAAATGGCTGGCCCAATACCCCGACTTCCAGAACCTGTAGCCATCCATTTCTCTCCGGCTGTCACAGAAAGGGGTATAACCGTAAGGGGCACCATCCAAGCTGAAATCTCTTAACTCCTTGAGATCTGTGCGTACAATCTGAAGAAGAGAATACCAAAGCCATTTGTTACCACGCAGTCGGTGCTGATGCAGTTTCCTTACCACAGAGTACCTCTCTAAGGCAGCACAGAAGGCCGCTCAGTGGTTGGCAGCAAGGGCAGCTCCAGGAGATGCACTTTGGTTCTCCACTTACTGGCTAGTTGCCCTTACTAGCATGAAAGACACTTAGCCTAGTGTGTGGTACACAGTACTCCAAAGGTTCTAAGGGAGTGGAAATAAAACACATTTTGATTGCTTCACTGCTCTGTGCCTCAGTTTCTTCACCTGTAGAGATAATGACTGTATCTATCTTACAGGGTTGTTGGGAGGATTATGCATGGGAACATATGGACACTTGTGGAATGAGGCCTTGACCATCTTAGGCACTCAACAAAAATTAAATGCGGCTCTGTTGGGATCAAAAGAATGTTTCAAGCTGAGCTAGCTAGGTAGGGATCTCAAGAAAAGTGGGAGAAGCCTTGTCCAAATGACTTTTGTATGCATTATGCCACTACCATTCAAGTCACTGACTCAGGTTTCCACCAGCTCAAGGTGAGGCAGGAGGCTGTGAGTAGAAGTACGTTATGCTGCTTAAGTTTGTATGCTCTAAAATCACAACGTGTTTCCTTTCATTAAGTCAAATCCCGACAGCTGGGTGCTTTTTGGTGCGTGCCCTATTACCAAAGCTAAGCTCACACTTGAGCTTTGTCTATCCCCCATGACAGTCATGCCTATCTTGTGGGCCGATAATTAGAGATGACAGCAAATACTGTTAAACCTAATTTTCTAATTTTTAGTTTTTCCTGTTCAATGAGTTAAGATACAAAACCATATACAAGATATCACAACTTATGTTAAAAAGACAGAAAAAGATGAAAATATGTACTAAATGCAAATTTTAAAACTGATCACATCTGAGTGAACTTTCCCATATTTTCTTTTTTCTTTTATCTTTCTTTTTTTTGAGTTGGAGTCTCACTCCGTTGCCCATACTGGAGTGCAGTGGCCGCTCCCGGTCACAGCAGCCTCGACCTGCTGGGTTCCGGCAATCCCTCCGCCTCAGCCTTCCAAGTAGCTGGAACTACAGGCGTGCTACCACGCCCGGCTGATTTTTGATTTATTGTAAATCAAAATTTATTATTGAGATGAGGTCTCGTCAAGTTGCCCAGACAGGTCTCAAATCCGCGGGCTCAGGCAATCCACTCACGTCAGCCTCCCAAAGCGCTGGGATTACAGGCTGAGCCACCAAGCCTGGCTAATATTTTCTAAGTGTAAGATGAGCATATACTTTTCCACAATTAGAAAGGTATTATTTAAAAAGAAATAAGCACTCTGCTGCCTTTAATACAAACAATTAAAACTGGGCCTTTAAGGGCTTACCTGATCAGCATCCACAAATAGGAATTTGTCAACAACCAGTGGGAAAAGTACATCCAGGAAGAGTATCTTGTAGCCCCAGATAATACGTTGCTTTTCCGTCTGTTGATGAAGCCACCGTGGCCATTTGTACTGAACAAGCTCATACTGGAAACTGTATTCATTTGCCATGTAAGGTATAAACTCCTATTTTGAGACACCAGGAACAAAAACATCATTTATTCTGATTAATAAAACTGCATTCATAATTTAAGTCAACTACTGTAATTATGGCACAGGCAAAACACGTTTACCAAAACAAAAAATCTAACAAAAAATGTGACCCTAAGTCACTTGTGACTACATAAAATAATGCTTATAAACCTTTGACAAATCCCCATTTCTTTATGATTTCTGGTCACCACATGAAATGACAGAAATCTTTAAGAGAAGGATTTTAGATTTATATCTCTATGTGTGTTTTTAAAGCACCTAAGATTTACTTGGTTGCAGTAAAACATGTATTGAGCTTAATTATAAGTCTTTCTTAAGGCTAGGTCTAACCCAGGGAATAAGATAGCAAAGTCAAAACTCTGGACAAATTTTTTGCCATTAATGGCTAAGTCTTTCTGATTCTAAATACAAGTACTTTAGGGGTCTGGAAGTGAATTACTTATCTAGGAGAGGTGTTACTGAATATATTAAAAGTCAGTTAGGGGCCAGAAGGGTTGGCTCACACCTGTAATCCCAGCACTCTGGGAGGACAAGGTGAGAGGATTGCCTAAGCCCAGGAGTTCAAGCCCAGTCTATACAACATAGTGAGACCTCATCTCTACAATAAATCAAAAAATTAGCCAGGCAGAGTGGCACATGCCTGTAATCCCAGGTACTTGGAAGGCTAAGGCAGAAATATCACCTGAGGCCAGCAGATCGAGGCTGCAGTAGCCATGATTGTGCCACTGCACATCAGCCTGGGAGACAGAGTGAGACTCCAACACACAAAAAAAATAAAAATAAAAAGGTATTTAGTAAATTTTATGGAAAAGAAAGATGCAAATAAATCAACATAGATGGCAAATATTGGCTGATAAGTAATGCAGAAAACATTCCAAATGTGTTTTGTTTTGTACAAATGAAGTATTACATCCACACATCATCTAGGCTCACGATAAAACCAATCATTCTTCTTAGTGTAAACCATCACTGTGCCTTCTAAATTAAAGTAAGACATCTGTTTCAGAGGAAGGGAATGTAATCTCATCAAACATGGCTACTAACAAAAACAAAAGAAACTCTCCTACATTATACATGTTTCAAACAGATCATAATTTTGTTTTGTTTTATAACTGTTTCCCCCTCAAATAGACCTGGAAGAATAATCAACAACAGCAAAAATATGCAATTAAGTTAGGGTATCCTAATAAAAAGAAAATTTGTGAAAGTATACAGATAAAATAAAAGTAATACATAAATCTTAGACTGTGAAATATCTTCTTAATAGAATGTTCTCCTTTTCCCTGTGAAACAAACCTTAAATGTGGGGGACAAATAATTCTTCAAGAACCAGAATTTCACAGGAGTCTTGGTATTCTTCAGCACTGATAACATCATTATGCTGCCAAACAAGAAGAAACAGTAATTTTCTAATGCTTTTTAACCTCAACAATATTAAGCAGAGTCAATCACAAGACAGCTAAATAAATGTTCTTTACTACAGAGCTGATGACTCAATTAGACAAAAAGAGACTCTTAGTGATGCAAAATTAAAACCTGTACTTATTCCTACTTATAAAATTATCACAGAATAGCAGGGGCATTTCTCACCTGTAAAAACATACTTCACCAATAGAGGCAAATGTTTTAATTTGGCTACCCCTTTAAATAAGCTGCTTCATGAGTTGATATATTACATATGGTGCACAGGAACCCTGGGAGCAGTGGCAAGCGACTACATCACGTTGAAAAACCCCTGTCAGCAGGGCTTGGTGGCTCAGCCTGTAATCCCGCGCCTTTGGGAGGCTGAGGTGAGTGGATAGCCTGAGCCCGTGGGTTCGAGACTGGCCTGGGCAGCGAGACCTCATCTCTACAATAAATAAAAAAAACCAGCCAGGTGTGGTAGCATATGCCTGTAATTCCGGCTACTCGGAAGGCTGAGGCGGAAGGATTGCCGGAGCCCAGCAGGTCGAGGCTGCGGTGGCCGGGAGCGGCCACTGCACTCCAGTCTGGGCGACAGAGTGAGACTCCAACTCAAAAAAAGAAAAATCCCTGTCAAGCAAGTGCCCACAGCCTCCGGGACAGAGGGAGGAACGTGCACGCTCAGAGCCTCCTGCAGTCTGTGCAGAAGCCCTGCTGGGAAGGAGAAAAGGGCGAGGTGAGGCAGGCAAGTTACAGGCTCAGGATTCCCTACTTGAAACACAAGCAAAAACAAATTCTGAATCATGGAACTTAATTAAATTCACTGGCTACTATCATCACATTTTGGGTCAGGTATCATTTCTGCAAAACAGGAGAGCTAAGAATGAGTAAAACAACCTTTTTTCTTTCTGCACTCGCTCTGCAGCAAAAAGTGAAAGCGAATAGCACTACGATAGTCAGGAAAGTGACCCCAGGCAAAGGTGCACCTTCAGAGCGGAGCCTCCCTGACTGTGACAAGGCTCTCAAGCGTGCCTTCCCCGCTAGCGACCACTGTGTCAACCAGTTCAAGCCGGAGCCTCTCCTGGTTCTGACTGTGGGACCTTAGGCAAGTCCCTTCACATTCGGGGCCTCAATTTGCTTAGAAAACAGAGGTGCTGATGCATAAGAACTAAGATCTGGCCGGGGTCTGTGGCTCAGCCTATCATCCCAGCACTTTGGGAGGCTGAGGTGAGTGGATTGCCTGAGCCCGGGGGGTTGAGACCCGCCTGGGCAACTTGGCGAGACCTCATCTTGACAATAAACCAAAAAATTAGCCGGGCGTGGTAGCACGCACCTGTAGTTCCAGCTACTTGGAAGGCTGAGGCGGAAGGATCACTGGAGCCCAGGTCAAGGCTGCAGGGGCCGGGAGCGGCCACTACACTCCAGTCTGGTGACAGAGTGAGACTCCAACTCAAAAAAGAAAAGAACTAAGATCTCTCCTGGCTCTAAAATCCTATGACTCTTTAGAGGGCAGTGAAGTAGTTCATCGTTCCATTCTCCTTCTAGTCTCTATTCTCAATCTACTAATTTCTGGTTTTAAGCAATGCTTGGTGGCCAGGTAAACAGCACCATCTATAATATGTGGACAAGGTCCATAACTTTGCAAAGACTATGTCCTTATAATATTCACATAGAGGCATTCACCACATAGCTCAACTTAATGGAGTTGACTGAACAAAAACAAATACAACCACTTGTGGCAAGCTATCTTCAGAGTACTTCAAATACAAAGATGCAAAATGGACAGAACTCCACAAAACACTTCCCTCTAAAAAACAATACTATGACAAATTCCATCACATATACTGAAATAAGCAAGACTAACCGAAGAAATCTTTCGTAGAGATGACCAGATGCAACGGAGAATATATTAATGATGTCATCTTTATCTTGTTTCACTTCCTCAGTCTTCTGTCCCCCCGTAAAGCCCCTACAACAATAAAGGTAAAAACAAGACCACTTGAAATGCTGGAAAAGACTCACAGCCCTTTAAGGAGAGAGATGGGCTTCCCCATTCCCATTCCTTCCCTAGGGGTGCGATGCAGCAGAAGCAGTCACAAAGCAGCCCTTGCACCCTGGAAGAGGTAGCAGGCCGATAAAGCCACCCTGCAGGATAAAAAAAGGATGCTCACCCCAAGATAGCATGTTGATTTAGGACCAGACTCAACACAGCTTGACCACAGAACACAATTTGAACAATGGGAAGTAAACCAAGCAACGACCAACCAACTCTCCAAAAAGCAGGCAGAATCTAATGAGAGTCAAGAAGTGTGGAACAGAAGTAACGTCACCATGAGGAGTCATCACCTCTTTTAATCAAGTGGAAAATACGCATCCAGGCTGAATTACAGTGTGAGACTCAGCTATGCAACGCAGAATGTGAAAGGCCCAGACAGGATTATGAGACTCGAAAAGGAAGAATGGAAGGCGCTTGTATCTCAGTTTTTCTTTAAAAACGCAACTTTTTCATGATGCCAATTTACCATTTGAAAGAGTCCCAAAATCCAGATTCGTTCTCACTTGCTCCATCGCTCAGCAAGTCTTCGTTCACCATGTCTGCCTTCTTCTGAACCTGCAATCGTATGTGTAACTCTTATTCCTCCCAGTAGGTCTATCAGGCATAAAAACTGCCTTTCTCTGGGTACAGATTGTGAGTACTGTCAACAATGGGAAATTACCAATCGAGTCTCCCACAAGCAGGCACAACCCCACCCAGAGTCTGGAAGTATTCAACAGAAGTATCTTCACTAGTATATTCATATCAGAATTTGAGGAGAGCAACTTCTTCTAATTAGACAATAACTGTTTTCAGCTTACAAAAACACAAAAAAACCCTCCAACTCAACTGTGTAGAAAATACAATCTGAGCAAAACCAGAAGCATGATTCACAAAGCTGACAGGTAGTTCTAGGGAAGAGTGTGGCTGCTGGGGCTCTAGCCGTCATGAATGAGACATTTCGTGTCATGACAGTTCTCTAGAACTCACTAGCACAAATGGTGAGTCTTTTTGGAGCTTAGTGACTTTTAGTTTTTCTGCTCAACCGTGTGCCCTATTTTAAGTTTTACGGAATGTAATTATTATTTATTCTATAGTGTCTTTCACTGGAATTTAAGGCACTAAGAACTTCAAAATGCTGAGAATAAAAAGCAGAAGTGAGAAGTTAAACAGGACTTTGAAATTTTCATTGCATTTCCCCCAATATTCTGAGAACAGAATAATCAATAACACTAAGAACTCTATAAACAACACAGCATCTATTAGAACATTTTATACAAGATGGGACTTATACTGCTCACTGAGATTACCCAAAAGGCGCAATCTCTCAGTCGAAGAAAGCCACAAACTCACATTTACAAGAGCATTTTCCCTTAAAGCAGCACTCCTATAATTACTAAAGCAAATTCCAAAGAGAATCTTCAGCTGGTTTCAAGACATGTGTGTTTACATGACAGACACTGAGTACCAAATGTTGCTACTTTGACCAAACTCACCTTCACTTTAATAATTTTGCTTTTGAAGTTGTTGAGGACGATCACAACTTCCTCAGCATCAGGAGGAGAGTCGGTACCATCATGGCTGTGAAAGAAAGGCAAGACAAGTATCACCAGTCATCATTCCCAAAAGGCAGTACACAGACTGACAGCACCTGCCACCACCTGTCCATCTTCTTTCTTACAAAGGAGTTTTCAGAACAAGCCATCTCCTCACAACCTGAAGGAAGCCCCTTTGAGTTGCACAGAAGCACCTGTCAAAGTCTCTATTTTCACACGAGGTCCATGCCCCACCTCCCTTCAGGAGTTCCCCTTCAAATTATGTATCACGCAGCGAGAGGCACCCAGACATGGCCAGCACATGGTGAGCGCTAGGCAATCGCCTGCATTCAGTCTGAGCCAAGCACAGTGCCTTCATAAAGGAGTACGGAGCATGGCCCCTGAACCACCACTGGAACCACATCACTTGTCCTCTCCTACTGAACAGTGCTGTAAAAGAATCTGCTCTCTCTCTCTGGCTGGAGGCAACAATCGGTCAAGGGCAGACCCTGTATTCCAGGTGTTCAAACTAGCGCCTGTATACTATAGGAAGAACAATAACAAGCTCTATTTGCTGGCACTCAGGAACAGAAGAGAAAAAATTAAACTTAATGTTTCCCTACTAACCAACAGTAATGCCTAAAATTTCCAGTCACCAAATTTGAAGGCATAGGAAGTCATGCTAACAATATGAACTTACAGCATTTGCTGTTATCTAACAGAAAGCTGGGTTCTCAGGCAAAGTAAGATTCTGATGGTGGAGAAACCTGAAATATGAGATACTCCAGAGACTGAGAAGATCCACCTGGGAAGCAGACGGGTAGGAGCCCTAGACAGTAAGAAAGAGGGGAGCACCAAACTCTGGTGAAGGAGGAAGACTGGTGAAGGCCAGGGCACACAGAACAGACGAACTGTGGAAGCGTAACTGAAATTTTGTAAAGCCTAGATGAAGAAAACGTGATTTGGAGGAAAATCTTCTGCTAAAGATATTATTACAATACAAACCCTTCTATTTCCTGGGGAAGAACTATGGACGAATCCACACAGCTTGACCTGTGTCAGATAAGATGCTATGCAGCTAAGGCAAGGACACACCAGAGGGTGCTCCAAATGAACGTGAATGAAAAGCATCCCCTATATAAGCTGACGGGTCTTTTCACGCAGTTCAAAACTAATTGAGATTCTGTTAAGCAGAATTTATACAAAACTTCTTTAAGGGCAGCATAATTTTTCAAGAAGCTATTAAGTACAGTCAGCAAACCTTAAGCAAAACCTGATTGCTGATGGAATGTTCTATGAGTGCTTCTGTATCATCACACCAAGGAAGACCAGTGCTAACAGCGAGATTTCAAGACCAAAGCTTACAAGTACTATGTATCTGCAAATCACTCAGGGTAAATACACATGCTCTCTGGGAAAAAAAGTTTGGCTGTTCTTTCTCTCCTCCCTTCTTCAAATTTCTCTTCTACCTATGGTCTCTATCACAGTGACACAATGATTTAATTCTAGGATATTGTTAACACAAAGGAATAAGTGAAGAATAAAGCTTGACTATATTCATTAGTATTTATACCTCTTATTATTTAATTCTACCCTAATAATTCTGCCATATTTAATTTCCTGGAAAAGCACTGTTTCATCACACATACAGCTGCAAGTTAAATTCATGTTGCCTAGCTAACATGAATAAAATTAGAGCTGATTTAAAATGTTATTTAAAATGTCGACTTAAAATGTTAGAATCTTCGGTGGCTCAGCCTGTAATCCCCCACCTTTGGGAGCCCGAGGTGAGCGGATTGCCTGAGCTCGTGGGTTCGAGACCCGCCTGGGCAACTTGGCGAGACCTCATCTCTACAATAAATCAAAATGAGCCGGGCGTGGTAGCGCGCGCCTTTAGTTCCAGTTACTCGGAAAGCTGAGGCTGCAGGATCACCGGAGACTAGCAGGTTGAGGCTGCGGTTGCCGGGAGCGGCCACTGCACTCCAGTCTGGGTGACAGAGTGAGACTCCAACTCAAAAAAAAAAAATTAGAATCTATAATACTGAGTGACCTAACACAGAAACAAAGAACTGAGTATCACATGTTCTCACTTATAAGCGGACCTCGAACAATTATTGTAATACCATAAGAAAAGGATCCGCAGTAGTGGGAATCTGCTGGAGGGGAACGCCTCACCAACAGGGGTACATGCATAATGAACATTTGTATACCTAACCCTGAATTGTGACACACATCTTTAAAATTTAAAAAAATAAAATGTCAAAGAAAAATGTACCTGCATCGTTTAATCCTACCTGTAGATTCTATAAATATCTTCAGAGCGTCCCTTCCTAAGTCTGAGAATCCAAGCTCCTGGGTTGGCTTTTAGCTGAAAGTAGCCCTATGACAAGAAAAAAGTCTAATTTTAGCTCTCTGCAAAACATCAAAATGCTGTTTCTGAGAGATAGTTGCTTCTTTTTTCTGAAATATCAGTCACCTATAATGTAAGAGTAAACAAATCAGTGCAACTCTTACAAAAAAGACCCCACACATTAAATACTCTAGCAAAACAGGCCAATCAAGCCAAGAAGTCTGCTTTTTAGCTGTGCTTCAGTGAAGAATCAATGTGTGATGTGTTAGTGCAGAATATTCTAACATTTTTTTTTTTGGGTAAATTGACATGTGATTCTAACCTATAAATTAGCTGAACATACTGACTTGTATATAGCCCAAACTCAGTCCATTATGAATTGTAACCTCACTCTATGGTTAAGAATGCTACCTCATCTCTACAATAAATCAAAAAATCAGCCGCGCATGGTAGCACATGTCTGTAATTCCGGCCACTTGAAAGGCTGAGGCGGAAGGATCGCCGGAGCCCAGCAGGCTGAGGCTGCGGTGGCCGGGAGCGGCCACTGCACTCCAGTCTGGGTGACAGAGTGAGACTCCAACTCAAAAAAAAATAAAAATAAAAAAAATAAGCCATAGCGCCCAAATTAACATGACTACATCACTGTCTGATTATTACCAGATTGGCCATGACAATAGTATCCACGATGACTGGCTGGGCTGCAGTTCCTAAGGTAAACTGTAGTCCTCGAGGGGGTTGGCCTGTGGTGACGTCATAGCAATGGCCTTCCAGTAACAGGTGCTCCAGCTCATACTCAGCAGCCACTACGCTGTCCACCTGCAACATCAACATCAAATCACTTGAAGACTTACTCAGCAACAATATAGATAAATCTGAAATGCATTTTGCAAAGCGAATGCAGTAGGCAAAAAGGATGTACATACTACATGATCATACTTTAAGAAACTTAAGAAAAGACAAAATTATCATGACAGAAAGCACATCAGTTGTCGCCTGAGGCCAGAAGTGAGGCGGGGATTGCCTGCAGAGGGGACAAAATAATTTCCGGGAGGTGATGGAAAGATGTTCCACATCTTGACTGCAGTAGTGGTTAATGACTGTATCTAGTTACAAAAACCGGGTTGGAAAGAGAAAGAAGAAAAAAAATAAGGTCGTTCCAAAAATACAGATGACAGGTAAGTTTCTAAACATTGTTGAAAGAAATTAAAGTACTAAATAAACAGAAAGTCACTAAATATTCATGGATCAGTAGAAAAACTTGTACACAATGATCATAACAGCTTTATTCATAATAGCTAAAAAGTAGAAAAACTCCAAATGTTCACTCATAAATAAATGAATAAAGTGTAAAATATCCATACAATGGAATATTATCTGGCAATACAAAAGAACGAAGCACCAATACATGTTATGACGTGTATGAATCTTGAAAACAATTTGTTACATGAAAGAAGTCAGTTACAAAAGACATATTACCATGATTCTATTTAGACAAAACGATAAAAAGTAGACTAGCGGTTGCCAGGGGCCCGGGAGAATAGGGGGTGACTGCTAATAGGTATAGATAGAGCTTCTTCTGGGGATGATACAAACACTCTAAACTGTAAAAGTGGTGATAGCTGCACAACTCTGTGAATATACTAAAACCTCTGAACTGTACACTTTAAAGGTGTAAATTTTATGGAATATGAATTACATCTTAATACAGCTATTATTTTAAAAAACACATCATACCTGAACACTGGTGTCTCAGAGGCCCACCCTAGACTGTAATTTAATCTATTTAGTTAAAGTCTACATCATGAATACGTTTTATGCATGATTAGATATTTGGAAGTAATGATATTCTTACCTCTTCTAAATAAATATTATCAAGATCATATGGCGTCCTAACAGACTCTACCATCCAACTCTCAGGTGTATTCAAATTCAGAGTGAACAGTGGAGACTGAGGCATATCCAAAAATTTTGCTATTGGACCCTTAGCAAAGCTATTGTCTGAAGTGAAAGCAATCTCTGGTTCTAAGACATAACGGTAAAAGCTGAAATTGAAAGGAAAAGTGTTAGACTTTTTCTGTGTGATAACCTTCCTTGAGTTTACAAACATTTACACAGGTAAATAATTGGTTAAAAAAAACACTAAAATTTGGAGGGGTATTCTACTGGCTTGGAAAAAAGTATTTTGAAAGCCACCTTAGGTCCTAATGATGCCTCCCATATCGCTGCAAATGCAAGAGAAGGCAAAAAGGGGCTGGCCTGAGGAGGAGGTCATTCCTTCACCTGATGGCTGCTCTCAGGATCACAATTATTTCCTGAGCTTTGCCCTCCCTTCAGGGAGAATTCGCTTTCTGTTAAAAACCAAGTCCCCAAGCTGACTGGATTCTCAGGCTAGCACTGAAAACACTTGTAATAATTTACACATTTCTCCCATATAAGAACAATGGTAGAAGCTAGGAACCCTTTGGCTACTTGGAAGCATGATTTCAATCCACTCAGATCCAACCTGTACAACACACACATTTGTAAGTTAGAAATCCCCCATAGTCCCAACAGGTACTACAGTACTACTATTAATTGCTTTTATATTATTACTTTTTCTGCAAATGGCCATTCCAAAACTCAGGACTGTATAGAGCCAAGCCTGTGCTCTTTCTTCCAAGATACACGCAAATACCCTGAGCAAGCTCCCTCTAACATATATATTCCTACGTGAAATGAATACTCTCCTTCTAAGATGAAATGCACAAGCACAAGTAGCCTGGGTTAATGCCACCTGCGTTAACACTGCCATAACCATACTATGTTCTCAGAACTTCTGATTAGAGCAAAATTTGGCAAAGCCAAGCTTTGGCAAACAACCATTTCAAACACGGCATCCACCTATAACTTCATCTGCTCCACTAACACGCAGCATTAGTGTTTGGATTCAGCACCATTCATTTCCACTGTATTCTTGAATAGCATATGTTACCTTTTTAAAGGCATGTCAGAAAGCTTAGACTGGCAGTTCATAAATACTCTCAGATTCATGTTTATCAGCTGAGTTAAAACCTAAAAGAGAAAACCAGATGACAAGCATTTGTCATTTTTCTTCAGAAATTTATTACTTAACACTCAGTTAAGAAAGAACATTCCTTAATATTGCAACAAAGGTATTAATATTTATTGCCATAAAGCCTGCACTGCAGAAATTTCTGGAAATCACAATTTCAGTGCAGAATCCTAACCACACATACATATGACTTGGCTGGAAATAAGGGCAAGTGGGCTACTGCAGGTTACACCTCCTCACACAAGGGAAGTTCAACTATGGAGAAGCAGCCGACAGACAAAGGATGTGTGTCCATCCACACGGGAACAGTTCACATTTCCAAGGATGAAAAAACATAAAATACCCACAAAAAGGGTTAGGAGTTCATATGGTAATAAAAATAGTATCTTAAAAAAAAAATAACTGAAAGGAATGTCAGGCGACTGTATCTTTGTCTTATACATGTTTTTGTAAAAGCCATACCACTACAAAAAAAAAACCCCATGGCCGTTATAAAAAAGGAAAATGAAAAAACAGAACTCTGTAACTCATTGCCATTATAAAGTAAGGGATGGCATAGATCAACTTTAATTAAAAGATGTCTTATTCTAAATGAGGATGTTAATCATGTTTCTAATAACATGAGGTAGCCAGCCAACCTTGCACCAACTCTCTACAGTTATAAAGTTATTTTCAGAACCACTGTCAATCTTCATGAAGACTGCTCTGCCCAAGTTGCTCTCAGCACTTATCCAATGCCCGCTGAAAACAACTAAGGGAAAACAAAGCTCTCAGCACATGACAGGGCAGGGGACTATTTCAAATAAAAGTGATGTGAACACCTGCATGGCGATCCTACCAAGAGCAATGGGGCAAGTCTCTGTGCTTCTCTGGTGACAGGGTCAATGACAGCCACGACATCAAAGTACGTCTCTCCTTCCTTCGGCCTCAGCTTAATTGCACTATGAAGATCAAAAGGATAAAGCATTAACACAGAGGAGGCAGGAAACAAAGGTACATTGGTCCAACACAACCTGTAAGCCCTCTTAGCATGTCAAGAAACTTTAGATCTAGAACAATTGAGCTACAATGGTGGTCAGCTGTACGATTATATCTACCTCAAGACTGCAAAATCATAATAACTCAGGCTCGCTCGAAATGGATGAGAGGAAAAACAGTTTGAAACTGTATTTAAGTGAAAACTACTGAAAGCTACTGATGTTTGTTTCTGATAGTTATTGAACATTATGCCAATTTTTATTTCCTGGCAAGAAAAGTTTTGTTTTGAGTCTGAGTCTCACTCTGTCACCCAGACTGGAGTGCAGTGGCCGCTCCCGGCCACCGCAGCCTTGATCTGCTGGGCTCCGACGATCCTTCCGCCTCAGCCTTCCGAGTAGCTGGAATTACAGGCACGCGCTACCACACCCAGCTGATTTTTTTTTTTTTATTGTAGAGATGAGGTCTCCCTGCCCAGGCGGGTCTCAAACCCGCGGGCTCAGGCAATCCACTCACCTCAGCCTCCCAAAGGCGCGGGATTACAGGCTGAGCCACCGAGCCCAGCTTCTGGCAAGAAAAGTATGAGGAGAGAGAACATAAACCAATTTTTAAAAAATAACATAAAAAATTAAGAACATCCCAGAATACCTGCAAAACAAAGAAAAGGGGAAAATACAATCCCAAAATATGCACTATTCCAGCCCAATCACTTAGCTGCATTGCTATGCAATCCTTTTTTGATACTTGTATAAAAACCAGCTGTATCTACAGAATATTAGCAATTTTAAAAGAAATTCCTTCCTTCCCCACCACTTCATCATAAACGTTTCCACACATTAATACATATCAAGTATCCTGAATGAGATATTTTATTTACTAAGTGAATCTGCCACAGTTCACGTAAGCTATTCCTTAATGCTGAACAGTCAGATAGCTTTCAACTTGTAAACAAATTGCACACCTAACTTTGTCCATACTTGGAAATGTCTTGAGAGTCAAAGAAGCACTAGACATGCGATTACGGAATCAGAGGATACGATTTTGTGGCTAACACACATTGTCAAGCACACTTCCCCAAAAACTAAGCCAAGGTACAAGGCCAAAAAACCGAATCTCACCATGTCCCCGTCAGTGTTGCTCTGCATGTTTCGTCTGTTCTTGCGTGAACAGTGAGAGCTGGTTAGGCTTCTGTTTGTGCCTCCAGGACTTCCGGGGAGACCACGCACACACCCACACATAGCTTCCGGTTACATGGCTTCCCTGTGAAGTCACACTGACTGAGGAGACTAGGAGGAGCAAGGGCCTCTGATGCACTTTAAAAAAGAACCAACTTGCAAAGATTTCAAACGACTCTCAATTCTCCAAAACCATTAGCTGCTTGAATCACAGTGCCCTGCTTGCTCTGAACAGGACTTTACTGTGGCCACAATGCTAACCACTACCTTTTCATGAAACAGCCTTTACCCAGTGGGATGAATATATAAGCATAACACAAAACAGCATGGCCAATAAAACTGGGCAACTACAGTTTAGATGCTGATGAGGGTCATTCTGAATCTTAACTGCTTTGGAAATAACTATCGGAATAGCTTTGTGAATGTGTTTGGCAAACGCTTTCAATCTCTGATAACAGTAACAACTGCAGATTCAAATCCACTGCCAAGGACTATTCTAACACGACACGACCTTTGTGCTCTAACACAACTGTTCTCAAAGTGTGGCTCCAGACTAGCAGCACCAGCTTTACCTGGGCATCTGTTAGAAGCAAACTGTCAGGCCTAATCCAGACCTACTGAAACAGGTCCAGCAATCTGCATTTTAACAAATTCTCTTAAGTAAAAGCCAAAATTTGAGTGTCACTGCCCTATTACAACTCTCTGCTACTCTAAAATTCTAGAAGGAAAGGCTCATAAATGCTCACAAAGGGACCAAGAAAAGGTGTCTCCAACAGGACCCCCGCCCAGAGTGTAACATCTGCTCAGACCTGCCACCTGCCTGGTTTGGGGTAGACTTTCAGTGACATGTGTGCGTTCTGAGCCAGCAGTGTTCTAGGTGATCAGCAACAGGGACACCCAGAGGTCGACCCTGTGAGGCCCTATAACCACCCTCACAACTCCACAGCAAAAAAGGGAACAAGACAAAAATGAAGAAAAGTGGAATATTCGTGTGGAAATGGGAACAATATAAACAATTATCATGCTTACATATATGTGCAACACTGGTCAGAAGAAAGGCCAGAATAAAGCCAAGAGTGACAGACATGGGAGCAAGACTTGGATATCATACACATTAGCCTCTGTATGCTGAGCAGAGCAAGGCCAAAGAATACGACGCTTCACCAACGCTGACACACACAGGAGTCACCAGGGAGGAACCCGTCCACAGCGGAGGCTGCTTCGGCAGGTCTGATGGGGGCCGCGAGTCTGCACTTCCAGCCCTCGCCCAAACGAAGTGCACGCTGAGGGAAGGGGCACACGATGGAGGCTTCGACTTTCAGCATGGACGAGAAACACCAGACTCAAATACCACAGACACTCCCTGAACTAGGACAACCGCAACAGGAATTCTTCTGACTATAGTTACAATTTGTGCCATGACAGAATTTGTCATTAGGACATTTTATCATACAAAACTCTTGGAGAAAAGGAAGGATGTTCCAAAAAAGGGAAGAGTTCTTTGCTCAGGACTCACTACCTTGGCCATGAAAAGTGAGAAAGACGGCAGGTCACTCAGAAAATGTTTCCTGTGCTAGTAGCTAGAAAATGAGTCACTTCTTGAAAGTATCCAGGGGCAACTCCTTCAGGTTCCCTCCTACTATGGGAGCTTTCCTGTCCTCTCAATAAATCCTGCTTTCTAAAAAAAAAAAAAAAGTATGCAGTGTTGAAAAGATGGGTACTGACAGAAAAATTCAACAAGGATTGGCCAGGAAGCACAGGAACCTCTACCCCCTGGCGACATAAAAAAATCAGGAGACACAGCCAGTGCGAACACGGAGGGTCTCCATTCCGGCCTGCATTCATGAAACCACCTGACTATGCAAATCTGACCTCCACAAGCACTAGCTGTGAGAAAACATAGGTCCACTAAACCAAAGTCTAATTCATGCAAGACTAAACAGGTTAGAACCACAGAGGAGCAGGACACAGTCATCCATATTTAAAGCCTCCCTGGGGATTTTGAGACACAATAAAAACATATATACCTGTCAGGTGAGGCAAGGGGTACATACATTAACTGCACAGGGTTCTCCCCCAAACAATTAAATCTGAGTCTCATCATGAGAAAACAACCCAGATGTGGGACATTCCACAAGACAACTGGCCTGGACTCTAACAAAATATCAATGGCATAAAACACACACACACAAAAACAGGGAATGCTTCTCAATTAAGGAAGATCAAACTCCATAAAAAAACAGTGATAAGAGGTCATTAGTAAGACATTGGAGAAATCCGAATGGGGAATGTGCATTAACATTACTATCTCAAGAGTAAATTTCTGAGGTATGCAAACAGTACTGTGAAGGAGTCCTGGTACACAAGACATATGCTAAAGGCTTCAGGCACATTGTGTCACGATGTCTTCAATATACTTTCAGGTGGTGAAGAAAACAAATGTGTATGTGTGCATGCAAACATTAAAGCAAATGTGGCACGCTAACAATTGATGAGTCTAGGGAAGAGATGTCTGGGTGCCCACTGTAATAGTCTTTCAGCTATTTCTAGGTTTGAAGAGTTTCCTTTTTCTTTTTCTTTTTTAAGAGATAGGGTCTTGCTCTGTTGCACAGGCAGGAGGGCAGTGGTACCATCGACTCATTGTAATCTTGAACTCCTGGGCTCAGGTGATCCACCAACACAGCCTCTCAAGTAGCTGGGACTATGGCTCTGCATCACGACACCCAGGTTTTTGTGTGTGTGTGTGGAAACAGGGGTCTCACTCTGCAGCCCAGGCTGGTCTAGAATCCCCGGCATCAAGCAACTGTCCCACCGTGGCCTCCCAAAGGTCTGGGGTTACAGATATGAGACACCATGCTTGGCTCTGAAACTTTCCAGAGTGAAAAATGGAAGAACAAAGGAGGGAAAAACCAAAAATTCTCAATAAAAGGTGGATGAGACAAATGCTTTAACAATCCTGTTTATTCTTAAACATAATAAGAAAATCATAACTGGTCTGTTTCATTAAATGTTGACTGTTTTCTACTAAAAGGACGCACCCAGAATTACTCCAGATTTATTTACAAATAAGGTCAATTTTTATGCCATTGAGATCTATATGTAAATGTTATATATGTATAAAAAATATATATGAAAATTGCACACCAAGTAAATGTTCTACTCCTACAAGAACTTATATACAAACCTTATATAGAAAACTCAAGGAGCTGAGGTAAAAGCAAACTTAAGAGTTTACTATTCAAGAATATGCAAAAATCCAACATTAATTCTGTACCTGTGTCTGTCTTCAAAAATCTGGTACTCAATTCTTGCATCTCCTTTTGGTTGAGCTGATAGGAGAGCATCCACCTTCATTACCAAGTCACTGGCCCTGAAAAACAGGGTTAGCGAAATCTAAGCATGTCTCTACAGAAGGTTTTCCAAACACTGCCCAACATATCATCCACCCAAATATTGAATGCCAACAAGGCGGTGTGAAGATGGCATGAGCTCTGTATTGCAGGTATAAGAAAAAGTACGAATTTGGTAAGTGATTGGCTATATAACCTTGGGAAAGTTACTCATTTTCCCACATGTGAAATGGAGATAGCACCTACTTTGCATGACTTTTTGCTCTTTCGAGTTGAACTCTCACTCTGTCACCCAGGCTGGAGTGCAGTGGCACACTCATGGTCACCACACTCTCAACCTGCTGGGCTCAGGTGATCCTTCCGCCTCAGCATTCCAAGTTGCTGGAACCACAGGCACGTGCCACAACACCCAGTTAACTTTTTATTTATTGCAAAGACGAGGTCTCACACCATGTTGCTCAGGCTGCTCTCGAGCCTGAGTACAGGCAATCCTCTCGCCTCCGCCTCTCAAAGTGCTGAGATTACAGGCGTGAGCCACCAAGCCCAGCTTGCATGACTCTTAAAAATACCGCACTGGGTAAACTTACCAAGCACCTAGCTCAGGGCGTGGACCAAAACCGACTGTCAGTATTACATTCTCTCCCACATTTTAAAAAATAACTATTAATTTGTATAATTATTAGAGTAATAATTCTCTGGAAAAACATTCAGGTAAATAAGTATAAAGAAGAAAACAGAGCTTACACATAATACAACTATCAAGAAACCAGCTCTAATATTTTGGTTCATCATTCTTCTATATTAAAAAAAAAAAAAAAAAAAAAAAATATATATATATATATATATATATATATAAACAAAACTAGGATTATACTATCTATGAACTTGCTTTTTCAATTAAAAATATATTATAAAAATCTTTTGGTTGGTTAATTAGCATAGGAGTATATCAATATTCTTAATGGCTGCATAATATTTTATTAATGGATACAAAATAATCTATTAAACCAACCAGCTCTTGAACATCTTTGTTGTTTCCAATTTCACTATTAGAAACAACATTGCAGTAAGCAACTTAGCTATTACTATTATCCCTGCCCCTTCTAAAACTGATTAATAATCAAGGAAGATCTTGAACTAAATAATGAAGTTGAAAAAAGATGTGGTAACTCAAGACTGTAATCCCTACACTTTGGGAGGCCGAGGTGAGAGGATTGCCTGAGTCCAGGAGTTCAAGACCAGCCTAGGTGACTTGGTGAGACCTCATAGCTACAATAAATCAAAAAATTAGCCAGGCGTGGTAGTGTTTGCCTGTAGCTTCAGCTACTTGGAAGGCTGAAGCGGAAGGATCGCCTGAGCCCAGCAGATCGAGGATGCAGTGGCCATATGTGTACCAGTGCACTCCAGCCTGGGCGACAGGGTGAGACTCCAACTCAAACAAAATTAAAAAATTTTTTTTAAAAAAGATGGTCTAATTAACTTCACCAAAGATTAAACCCTTAATAAGAAACTTAAAAGAGCACTTGTGAATATATTTGTCAAGACAAGCCTATACATTTTCTCTTTGAAATACACAAATATATCAAATTACCAGTTGGTTCAACTAGCCACAAGTACATATAATACAGGACATTTACTGCCTGTGATGTGTCTGCATCGTTACAAAACATGCCAAAGGACACTTGGTTACATGGATGGAGGTGAGCAGGCCAACAAGAAACTTGCTAAAGCCTCATGAAGCACCATAATCAAAGAGCACAGAGCTGAGCTTCAGAAAGCTGAGGTCAGTCTTGTGGCTGAAGGCTGGGTCATGAAAGAAAGCAGTGGCTATACCCAGAGAGTCACTCCAAGGTGGAGCAGCTCTGGCACTAATAAAAACTGTCACAGATAAGATAATTCTGTGAATCCTAAGAGTTTAGCATCAGTCTTTTGCTAACCCCGTGACTATCTTATATCCTTAAATTCACCCAGGAAAGACCCAGAGCCATTTCTGGCTGACAAAAAGCAAGTCTTATAGGCACAGTCTGGCAATCATGTAGTTCACAAAGGAGCTTCCTACAAAGCCTCCGCACAGAAAGGGAGTGGTCCACATGCATGCCACACCAAGCCTATGCCTGTGACCTGCCTGCTCCAAGTCAGGCAGTGCCTCCTGGCCTACAAAAGGAAAGTGTTTCCTAGCTCGGACAAAAGGGTCACTGAGATCAGAGAGAATCTCCTTATCTGTAGCCACTAGCATTGTCTCAAATAAAAGATTTATTTCCACGTTGCACAAGACTTAGCAAAGGGACCGCTCTGACAGCTATCAAAGTCAATGCTTCCAGTGGTACAATCACAGTTCACAGCTGCCTCTACTAACTCTTAGACACAAAAAATCCTCCCGTTTCAGCCTACTGAATAGCTGGGACTACAGGTGGGCCACCATGCCCAGCTGATTTTTTTTTACTTTTCATAGAGATGAGGTCTGATTATATTGCCCAGGCTGGTCTCAAACTACTGGCTTTAAGCAATCCTCCCACCTTGGCCTACCCAAGTACTGGGATAAAAGGCATGACCCATCGTGTCCAGCCAAAACATACATTCTTGAACTCTGCAGCATGAAAGTGTATGAAAATGATGAAGAAAAAAATCAGAAGAACTTTTAAATTTTATATCCTCCAACTACTTATTGAAGAATACTTTTCCACAGAATGAGAGAAAATATTTGCAAGTCCTGTATTTGATAAGAAACTGTTATCAAGAATGTATGAAGAACTCCTACAACTCAACAACAAAAAACACACCCGGTTTAAAAAAAGACATTTCCCCAAAGATGTACAAATGGCCAATCTGCAAATGAAAAGATGCTCAGCATCACTATTATCAAGGAAATGCAAATCAAGTTACAAAGATAATATTTCACACCCATGAGGATGGCTATTATCAAAACACAGAAAAAACAAGTGTTGGTGAGACTGGAACACTTGTGCACTGTTGCTGAGAATGTAAAATGGTACCGCCACTGTGGAAAAGGTATATAAGCAGCTCTTCAAAAAATTAAACATAGAAATATATCTCCTGGCTGGGCTCGGTGGCTCAGCCTATAATCCCAACACTTTGAGAAGCCGAGGTGAGTGGATTGCCTAAGTCCGCGGGTTCGAGACCAGTCTGGGCAACCTGGCAAGACCTCATCTCTACAATAAAATAAAAAAAAGCCAGCCGTGGTAGCATGCGTCTGTAGTTCCAGCTACTGGGAAGGCTGAGGCGAAAGGATGGCTAGAGTCCACAAGGTCGACGCTGGGGTGGCTGTGAGAGTGCGTGCCACTGCACTCTACCTTGGAAGGAGTGGGACTCCAACTCAAAAAAAAAGAAATACATCTCCCAACTATGCATTCATTGATATGCAATGCAGAAACTAGGTACATATGACAATAGGCTCCAGTTACACAGCAGCTACATGGTTCAAACTACTTGTTTTCTTCCATGAAAAGAAATAACACCCTAATATACATTAGCTAATAATAGCATTGGAATAATTTTAAATTTAAAAACCAACAATAACCAAGTCATAGTCACCTATGGAGACACAAGAGAAACAACTCAGTATTCTCCATTGGTGGATAAAGGAAAACAGCCTTTCCTCCCCCGAACAAAGTAAAACTGAAGGGCTGGGTTTGGTGGCTCAGTCTGTAATCCCAGCACTTTGGGAGGCCAAGGCGAGTGGACTGCCTGAGTCCGCGTGTTCAAGACCAGCCCGGGCAACTTGGTGAGACCTTGTCTCTACAATGAATCACAAAAACTAGCCAGGCATGGTAGCGCACACTCCTTGTTCCAGCTACTTGCAAGGCTGAGGTGGAAGGATTGCCGGAGCCCAGAAGGTCGACACTGGGGTGGCCATGAGCATGCCACTACACTCCAGCCTGGTCGACGGAGTGAGACTCCAACTCAAAAAAAATAAAACAAAAAAACCCCCCAAAACACCGAAGGATAACCAAATAGATAATGAGGAAAAGTAAGTATTACAGGTAAGAAACAAAGCAGTCATTCTATTTCTGCATGTGTTTGAAATTTTCCACATCAAAATGTAAAAAACTAAAAACAGAGAGAACTAATTAAATTCTTTAAATAACAGTCTACAAAATAAACTAGCATGTTTCAACAGAAGTATATATTAAAACTTGAATTGCCGCGTGGTTATTCAATATTATATTATTTTCTCAGGGACACAGAGGAGTATATGCTTCACATTATTATTATTACTACTATTATTATTATTATTATTTGAGGCAGGGTCTCATTCTGTTGCCCAGGCTGGAGTACAGTGGCTCACGGCTCACTGCAGCCTCAACCTCCTGGGCTCAGTGATCCTTCTGCCTCAGCCACTTGAGTTGCTGGGACTACAGGCACGTGCCACCATTCCTGGAGCATTATTACATTTTCAAACTGGAAATAAACACCCTGGAATAAGTATAGTGTATATGAGTGTGTATGTGCACACACACGCACTATATGTATACATATACATAACCTATGATCCTAACCAACCTAAGTGTAAAAGTCCAATTAATGCAAGCCCTGTAATTTCTTCCATAGCAAAACTCACACATCTTCTTCCACCCGAAGTTGCTGAATATGAGATTTTATTTTCTGTCCTGAAGTTTTTAAGATGATGCTTTCGAGGAGGTGGAAATCGTCTTGATTAAAGAGCTCGCCATCCTCCAGTGGCCCGATGACCTGTGAAAAAGAGAAGAGCAGCGCCTGAGCTGGAGAGCACCTGCGGTCAGCAAGCTGGGAAGGAGCCACGCGGCATCCTCAGGCTGTCGTGTGCACCAGTCAGCTTAGTGACCAGAGACAGGGACACATCTAAGTAAAAGCAGGAAAAATACATGAGGCCGAAACAACCCGTGGTCATTTGCTTACTCTTCCATTCCTCAGGGACACAGAGTACAAGTATATGCTTCACATTATTTTTATAGTGAGCAAGCTCTCGAGTCACATAAAATAGCAAAGAAGTCCTCATTAATTCTCACTGAAGAGAAATAACAAAGCCTGTTTTATATGTCAAAGGCCGCAATGGTTTATGTTCTGAGAGCCACCAAACATTCTCACCACGATGGCAGGACAAGGACAGAAGGCAGGAAGGCTGCACACAAGGTCACGTACATCCAAAAGCACACCTCATTGCAAATAAACGGGTAGAAATATCATCGGCACTTCGTAGACCCTAATCCCCTTTGGAGAAAGAGTGTTCGAAGAGTCTGCTAGCTGCAGATGGAATGCGGCAAAGACTGTTCACAGATCTAATCGGAAGTCAAGCATGCCAAGTCCTCACCCTTCCATTGCTGATCACTGCCCTCTGTCCCTTCTTCAGCTTCAGAACATCCCTGCAGTACACGGCATGAGACAAAATGAAATCCATTTTGGAAGACTCAAAGACCTCTTTAAAAAGACTGAAATCCATGCCCTAGGAAAGTAATCATTATTAAGGAAAACTGTTATTAAGCAAACCATATAAATGAATAATCAAAATGAACAAATTACAAAACACTCTTTTAGTGGAAAGTAGTAAGAAGGTTTTCATAATGAACATGATGATGCTGCAGTTCTTCAATCTCATTCCTCCAGGTCCTCCCATTTACAAAGTAACTGCGATTTCCGTTTCCTAATTTTCATGTGATTTGTTCAGCTGGCAGACTACCTTCATGATACCTTTGATCTGTATTTTTTATGGGCTCTGATCTTTTCTCTTTTTTTTGAGTTGGGGTCTTACTCTTGCCCAGGCTGGAGCGGAATGACACAATCACAGCTCACTACAGCCTCTGCTTCCTGAGCTCAGAAAATCCTTTCACCTCAGCCTCCCAAGTAACTGAGACTATAGGCACGTACCACCACACCAGCTAATTTTTTAACTTTTGTAGAGATGAAGTCTTGCAATGTTATCCAGGCTGGTCTCGAACTCCTGGGCTCAAGCAGTTCTCCTGCCTTGGCCTCCCAAAGTACTGGAATTATAAGCATGAGCCAACATGTGTGGCCATCTCTGATCTTCACATACTCTGCATTTTTAAGTCCTGCTAATTCCAGTGACAGCCTTTTTTCTAACTAAAACTTCAAGTATTATATATTCATCATTTTATTAAAAATTTTAAAATTAGCCGGGCTCGGTGGCTCTGCCTGTAATTCCGTACTTTGGGAGGCTGAGATGAGTGGATTGCCTGAGCCTGCAGGATTGAGACCCACCCGCCTGGGCAACTTGGCGAGACCTCATCTCTACAATAAATCAAAAATTAGCCGGGCATGGTAGCGCGCACCTATAGTTCCAGCTACTTGGAAGGCTGAGGCGGAAGGATCACCGGAGCCCAGCAGGTCAAGGCTGCAATGGCTAGAAGCGTGCCACTGCACTCATCTGGGCGATAGAGTGAGACTCCAACTCAAAAAATATATATATATTTTTTAAACTACAAAACTGCAAAAAATAGATAACAAATTATAGAAATAAATGAACATGAACTTATTTTGGAGACACATTAGGAATACATAAGCCTTGAACTCATAAGTGGCTCAAATCTCAGTATTTAGCTTTATAAACAGATCATATATTGTCTATCTTTTAATAACTATTCAAAACAAATGGCTCTGCACTTAAAACTTACATAAACTCAAACCACGCATACTTTGAAACCCAGACAAGTTTAAAGCTAATGAAGGGAATATGGTAGAAGTTATTTCTTGAAATGAGTTTTGTAATCCACTGGGTGTGGTGTTGCACACCTGTAATCCCAGCACTTTAGGAGGTGGAGGTGAAAGGATCACCTGAGATCAGGGGTTCAAGACCAGCCTGGGTAACTTGGCAAGGCCTCATCTGTACAATAAATCAAAAAACTAGTCGGGCGTGGTGGCACACGCCTGTAGTTCCATCTACTTGGAAGGCTGAGGCGAAAGGACTGCTAGAGCCCAGCAGATCGAGGCTGTGGTGACTCCAGCCTGGGAGAGAACTCAAAAAACAAACAAACAAATAAAAAACCCCCCAAAAACCGTCTAAGACTCGTAACTGAAATGACAAATCCTGCCCATCAACAGGCACATCTGCCCAAGGGAATGAACTTCAGTGGCACACACAACGGGGCAGCCTCATGAAGCGCTCAGACCCTTACCCCCACAGAGAAGTCTGCAACGTCGGCTCCCGCGGCCAGTGCCTCTGCAGCCTCCTCCTTGGCCATTTTGGTGATGAAGTTCTTCGCAGAGCTGGAGGTCTGTGTCTGGAGAGCTGCCCAGATGGCTCTGGAGATCTGGGTGTTTTCATAACTTATCTCTTCAGTAGGATTATTGATCATGCTTATTCTAACATTGTTACTGGATTTCTGTTTACAAAATGGGAAGTAAGAGTTATATGGTAGACGTTTTAAACTTAAAAAGCAGCATTAACACCAGTCATGTTCCATAATAGTAGCAAATAATATTTCTCTTAAGTCTTCATAGTTCCTCTCACTCAGAATAAACTTCAAGGGATTTAGTCAAACATTTAAAACCCTACATGAATTGGCCCCAGTCTACTTTTCCAACTTCATTTACTATCATCCCTGCAGAGGTAGCATACATTACAAACCATCAGAGTCCTAACTTAACTCCCAATTGGCATCCTTCTAACACGTCATGCCCCATGCTGGCATGCCAGCCCCAACTACATTCGCCTTTATTTCCTTAAGTTCCAACCACTCTTCAGTGCTCTCCTCAAATCCTTCTTCATTCATACGACCTTTCCAGATTCCTAGCAAAAATGAATCTCTCCCTGGGTGAAGACAGGAATCCAAGTGAGAGAATATATCTGGGACCCACAAAACCAAAAAAAAAAAGGGCTGTATCAAGAACATAAGCAACAGAAATGCACATTTATGTATATCAAAAGACACATATGAGCATATTCGTAGCAGCATTCTTCAAAACAGCCCCAAACTAAAAACGACACAACTGCCCTTCAAACAGGTTAGACAAGCAAAACTTTGTGGTACAATCATATGATATAATACTACACAATGAAAAAGAGTCACCTACCATTTGTAACTTGGTCATAAAATGTTGAGCAAAGAAACCAAACGCAAACACATACATACTGTAAGATTTCCTTTAAATAAAGTAAAAGACAGGCAAACCTATTCTGATATGAGAAGACAGAGGAGGGAGAATGCAGTAACTGGGCACAAGTGGGGAGGACTTTTGGGCATTTGGTAATTCTCAGTTTCTTAAACTGGGTGGTGGTCACAATGGTGGTGGTACTCACTTTGTGACACTGTAGCCTAGAGTTCTTATGAACCTATATTTTACTTCAATTAAAATGTTTATTTTATGGCTCAGCCTGTAATCCTAACATTTTGGGAGGCCAAGGCGAGTGAACTGCCTGAGCCCGCAGGTTCGCAACCAGCCCAGGCAACTTGGCAAGATGTCTCTACAATAAACAAAAAATTAGCCGGGCAAGGTAGCACACACCAGTAGTTCCGGCTACTTGGAAGGCTGAGGCGGAAGGATCGCTGGAGCTCAGCAGGTTGACACTGGGACGGCTATAAGCATGCCACTGCACTCCAGCCTGGGCGACGGAGTGAGACTCCAACTCAAAAAAAAAATGTTTATCTTAAAAAGTTGACTCTTTCCCTGTTCTCTCACCCCCACTACCATCTGAGCATTTAATTATTCATTTGTGTTGGACTGTCTTTCACGTGTAATTAACTACTCCTCTTCACTAGAATTGCCCTGGTTTAACTTTGAATTTAGCACTGCATCTTTTCACTCCTTTGGACAATAAAGGCATTCAGCACTTCGGTCAAACTGAAACCACCTGGTTTTCCTTCTTCCAGTAAATCTTCCCAAGCATGGAAAGGGGCACAGGGTGGAGAGGGGCCACAGAGGGTTGTGAAATTTGGACACAGATCTAAACTGAAAAAGCTCAGGAAAAAGAAAGTTGACATCTCCTCCTCTGACAATGAAACTCTCTAGAAGAACCAGTGTCTTCTCAACCACTTGCCATCGCCATTCACTAAGCTCTGCTCTTCTCGTGCAACACACCTTTCAGGGCACCAATGTGTGTGTCTCTCTGTGCACCAGGATCCACTATTGTACACACACTGCTGTCCCAGTGTGCGACTGCCCGCCCATCCAGACTGCTCTCAGTGCAAGGACTCTGACTCTCCCACACAGAAAACCACATGATTGTTGCAGGACCTCTACAAGAATACGAACAGTCACGCAATAAAAGCATGTCTATAAGGAGGCTCTCCTTGTTTTTTTCCTCTGAAAAAGTCTATTCCCTAAAATAAATCCAGGGTACTACACTCTTTGATCTCTTTTCTTACAAGCTGGCAGACCTCTGAAGAAACCATGCTCTTTTCCCTCAAGCACTGAGAAAGCAGGACTCCCAACTCCCATTGAACAATCCCTTAGGACAGTGACAGCCCAAACAAAAATATACAGTGCAGTTGCAGATACTTGCCTGATGTTTAATAGCATCATACAATAACTGTCGTCCAGAAGGGCTATCAAAATCCCCAACAATCCAAAAAGTTACCGGCCTAATAAAAGAATCATCTATAGAAAAACAAAATCAACAATTGAGTTAGAGGTGTAAAGCACACTCTGTGTTTCAACACTGTCGTTAAAACCAATAATTTCTAAAAACCATGCAAAAAATATGAAGTGAAAAATTTAATCACAATAAAAAGAAAAGTAGTGAAGCCTCTACTAAACTGCCATGTAATTTAATTAGAAACTAGGAACATGCACTGATTAATTTTACTAAGGTCTAGGTAACTGTTAGCATGTAAAATAAAAGTCTATGAACATGTGGGTAACATTATAGCCTTTCATTAATCATATTAATTTGTTTTGTTTTGTTTTGGTTTTGAGTCAGAGTCTCACTGTCTCATCCAGGCTGAAGTGCAGTGGCACAATCACAGCTCACCACAGCCTCGACATCCTGGGCTCAGGAGATCCTTCCACGTCAGCTCTCTGTTGTCCCAAAGAGCTGGGATAACAGGCGTGTGCCACCATGCCAGGCTAATTTTTAAATTTTTGTAGACACGAGATCTCACTAGGTTTCCCAGGCTGGTCTCAAACTGCTGGGTTCCAGTGATCCTCCCACTTCAGTGCTGGAATTACAGGAGGGAGCCACCATGTCCGGCTTTACAAACATTTGTACAAAATGTATTTACACTGATATAGTCTATTATTACCCACAGGTATCAGAAACATCACAATAAAAGTGCCAATAAATCGTGAATTATGATGGTCTCTGAAACCACTAAAAGAATTAAGAATAGAAGGTTCTGAAGTTTTTAATTACCATAGATTTCCTTGGAGGACATACCTGGACAAAGGCAAAGGGAAAAAAGCACAGAAAAGAAGATGTCATTTCTGTAAGCAATGACTACAAGAAGGATAAAAAGTTTGAGTAACGACTAACGCGACCAGTGTGTCTTCTGATGCTTCGTCCCTGCAGTGCTATAGCCCTGTTCCAGTGCTCCTCAGAAACAATTTACATATATCTGAAAAACCAGAAATCCTCTCTGGGAGAAAACCACAGCAGTGGTAAAAACAGCTGCCTTAAATAACTGCCAGTGCTTTTTTGTAAAGGTAATTAAGTGTGACCAGAAGGGAAAATAATCTGCCATGGAAAGAACATGATTTTACACAATTTTAGCCTAACTCCATATAAACTTAGCTTTAAAAACTACACAGGCTTTCTAAAACCAACTTATCTTACAAACCCTAAAATAAAATTAACCCTATATTATCACTGAAGAGGCAAATCAAACCAATTTTCAATCCATTAACCCATTTTTACATCATAAATGATTTTCCATTTTGAACCACGAAATATTTTTCCTTTTGATATTAATAGCTAATATAAAGGTTATAAGGACAACATTTGAATTTTTAAGCATACATAAATAATTAAATTTTAAAAGTTTTTTTGCACTTAAAGCATAAGAAATAATTTTTTAAAACTATAGTCTCTCTTTCCCCAACAGACATCAAGATAAATTATTTTTACAAATACTAAAAAGAAAAAAAAGCCGAACCCAAGATAAGCCACAAACGAATTACCTTTCTTTGTCAGATAGTTCATACTATTGGCTATAGCAGCAGTCTTGCCTTGAGAATCCAAAACAGTAAATCTAGCATAATCATCCACAAAAAAGTTATCTGGGGGGAAAATGAAAACAGGTTTATAACTAATACGCCTCAGTTCAATCTAACGTCAATATTCAACGCATAACCTCATTTGATTATAAGAACAATAAAAACGCATGAGCGAAGTATAGTAAATTCCAAGCTTACTGAACAAGCTCTCACCATGCACTCTACTCCACCCACCACATTTCAGAGACACAACATCAATGAGCAATGTACATACCTCCCAAGGCTTCATACATGTACGTGTCAACTCAACGGCCGAAATCCATCCTATTCCCACACTTGTCTCTTCACACCCAGAACACAATCTCCTACAGGGACACCCCTAACTCGTCTCTCCACTAGAGTGAGCTCTTCCCCATCCCACGGGGGGGGGGAATGAGTGACAAGGCGAAAGTACACAGGAAAGCTCTGGTGTCTCCATTCCAAGCCTAACAAAGATAGTATCTTTCGAAACCCTCACGAAGAGAAAAGACCATCTGCACTCTTTCTAGACAGGTACCTTCTCCGATGAGTGCCCTCCCCTCAGATTATTCCTCCTAAAATTCCAGTTTCATCAAGTCACCGTCTTTCTTTCCAGTTGTAAAACGGTCTCCAGCAACCTCCCCAGTCTTAAGTGTCATTACACCACAGTACAAATATCACTCTTTCCATCACTGTCTGCCAAGCACAACTTGCTTGCCCGCCCACCCAGCCACTGCTCATCCATCTATCCTTCCACTTTACCTGGTCAATAGTCTACTAAAAGGAAAGCAACAGTAACTAAGTCAGACATAGTCCATGATATCACGTGGGGGAAGAGAGACAGCACCATGCATGTACAAATGAGTATCCTTCTAAAAAGGTTCTGTGACAACCAAGGCCAAAGACGCCTGGGCCATGGTGCCATCACCACCAGGTTGTAATGTAGTTGGTTATGACTTTGTTACACATTTTTTCCTTCCCTAGTAAGATTTCGCCAGCAAGAGAAAACAGTTCCACCTTATTTCTAGGTGTTTGCTGTAGTGGCCTTCAGAGCCTCAAGGAAAGCACAAGGAACACATTACATCTGGGCTTAACATATTTAGCTCTGATAAGGTATTCTAGTGGCAAACACCCAAATGTCCATCAACGGAGGAAAAGACACGTGTGGACCATCCATGCAATGGATTGTAAAAAGTAATGAAATACTGACATACATAACATGGATGAAGCTTAAAAACATGCTAAATGGAAGAAGCCAAGCACAAAAGACTTTCAATTATACAAAATGTCCTGAATAGGCAAATCCATAGAAACAGAAAGTAGATTTGTGGTTTCCAGGGGATAGGGGAGAGGAGGAATAGAGATTGACTACTGACAGGTACATGGGCTCTTTCTGGGCTGATGACAATGTTCTAAAATTAGACAGTGGTGATAGAATATACTAAAAGTCATTGAACTGTATACTTTAAAAGGTTGAGTTTTATGGCATGTACATTGTATCTCAAAAAAGCTACTATTTTTAAAAAAGCAATCTTAGCCGGGCTCAGTGGCTCAGCCTGTAATCCCAGCACTTTGGGAGGTTTAGGTGAGTGGATTGCCTGAGCCCGCGGGTTCGAGACCCGCCTGGGCAACTTGGCAAGACCTTATCTCTACAAAAAATAAAAAATTAGCAAGGTGTGATAGCGCGCGCCTGTAGTTCCGGCTACTTGGAAGGCTGAGGCGAAAGGATCCCCGGAGTCCAGCGGCTCAAGGCTGCGGTGGCCAGAATCAGCCACTGCACTCCAGTCTGGGCAACAGAATGAGGCTCCAACTCAAAAAAAAAAAAAACAAAAAAAAAAGGATTGCCTGAGCCCGCAGGTTCGAGACCCGCCTGGGCAACTTAGCGAGACCTCATCTCTACAATAAATCAAAAATCAGCCGGGTGTGGTAGCGCATGCCTGTAGCTACTTGGAAGGCTGAGGCGTAAGGATCGGCGGAGCCCAGCAGGTCAAGGCTGCGGTGGCCGGGAGCGGTCACTGCGCCTGCACTCTAGTCTGGGTGACAGAGTGAAACTCCAACTCAAAAAAAAAAAAAAAAAGCAATCTCAGGTTCTCCGAATGAATGTGCTGAGATATTTGTTGATATACTGCCAGCTGATTCTAGAATGAGGTGAAGAAAAGACAACTGCTTTATGACTATAAGGAAGTCAACAATCCAGATGATAAGAATGGTCTTATCATCTATTGCCTGTTTAGCTGGCATTTAAATGGCAAATATTTTTCAAAGTTTTCAAGGTTTTACCAAGGAAAACTTATTCTTCTATGGAGTAAACTTTTGTGAATTTAGAAGCTCATATTATGAAGTCAAGGTACAATAAGTTTTAAACATAAAATTGTGTCACAGTCTTGGGCAATCTTCTGAACATTACAATCCAATTAATACAAAGACACTGAAGCACCAACAAATAAAAAGGTGTTCCTGAAATGCTCCTTACTACTTGCTGTTAAATCCAGGTAATCTCGCTCAGCTGTCAAAATCCTAGAATTGATTCGTGGAACAACATTTGGCTGATTCATAATATACTCTACCACATCTTGATCATGGGACAGTTCACCCTACAGGGAAAAAAAAAGCACATTTGATCAATAGCAATTCCTAAGAAACCTAAGAATTATTTTTATAATAGGCTCTTGTGTGTTGGAACTAAGGACAGAAGTTACCATATTATAGGTCCCTGTCTCTACCAAGTAGTCCTTTACATCGAGTATCTGTAACACTATCAAAAATATGAGGCAGATGTTATCGGTGCTATCATAGCTCACTATAACCTTGAACTCCAGGATTCAAGTAATTCTCCTACCTCAGTTTCTATGATAGCTAGGACTACAGGTGCTCACCACAATGTCTGGCTAATTTTAAGAAATGGTTTGTAAAGATGAGGGTCTCACTATGTTCCACGTTGGCCTTAAACTTCTGGCCTCAAGTTGTCCTCCCACCTCAGCGCTGGGCTTACAGGTGTGAGTCAGTACACCAGGCCAGATAATCATTTTAAATGATGAAGAAGTAGAGGCACAGAAAGGTTAAATAACTTACTCAAAGTCACAGAGTTCATGCAAAGTGAATGTGAAAAGCAAATCCATGTGTATGTGGTCTTTTCACACATGACTGCGTTTCTCCAGAAAAAGACAAGCTCTACAAGTTAGTTACACATTAACATAAGCAGAAATCCATCCTGAGATCTACTCATCGTTAACTTCTTTCTAAAGGAGAAAGCCAAAGGTCTTCTCTCAAGGAGTTAATATGCTCTGTAATAGAAATCACTCCGAGCTTTTTTTGATCTCAAGCAACCAAGTAACCCTAAGTCTCCAGAGCCAGAATTACACTGGGGGGAGGAAAATCACTCATTATGTATTCTTCCCCTTCTGCACATCTCATATTACACAGAAATAGTTGACAATGACCTCAGAGTCAAGTATCAGTAAAAGTGAAAACCTGCAGATTTACTATACTTAAAATGTTTAATACAAAAGTATAAAGTCATTTTCAAGAAAAAGATGTAGGCTAGGTGCAGTGATTCATGCCTGCAATTCCAGCACTTTGGGAGGCAGAGGCAAGAGAATTGCCTGAGCTCAGGGGTTCGAGATCAGCTGGGCAACTTGGCAAGACCTCATCTCTACAATAAATTAAAAAAAAAAAATAGCTGTACACCTGTGGTTCCAGCTACTTGGAAGGCTGAGGTAGAAGGACTGCCTGAGCCCAGTAGGCCAAAGCTGTAGTGGCTGTGAGCATGCCACTGTACTCCAGCCCAGGTGACAGAGTGAGACTCCAACTCAAAAAAAAAACAAAAAACAGAGAGAAAGATGTAAATCAAATATACACATTCAAGTCTAAATAATTCCAATTAGACACTGTTTGCAACTATATATTATTCCTGAGAAAGCCTACTAAAAATTTAAATAAGCCTACTAGAGTTAAATATATGCAAAGACGTAAAAAAACTTGAAAGTCTGGCGTTCGTCTTAACAAATAAGATCAAGCAATAAAAACATTATAAAAAAGAATCAAATAAAACATCTGGAGTTTAAAAATCTAATAACTGAAATGAAACATTCACTAGAGGGTCTCAATAGCAGATTCAGAAGAAAGAATTGGTGAACTTGAAGTTGGATGAGTTGTGATTATCCAGTCTGAGGAACATAAAGAGACCTATGGGGCATGACAGAGTATCAATATGTGCATATTTTTAGAAGAAGAGGAGACAAAGAGACAGTATGTAATAAATAATTTTGTGGCCTTTATCCCTGGTGCCTAGGAGGCAACTTCTAAATCCAGTGTTAAGAGTGCCTTTGTTATTCATGCTGAACCCCTTAGGTCACCTATGAGGTGATACATAGTGGGCCCCTAAATAGTGTGCACTAACAAAATGGCTCAGGTTGGGGACTGGCCACACTAGAAAGACCAACCACATGACTAGAGAGTTGAGGTTCTGAGCAATATGATACCTGTCCGATAGCAGCCTGATCTCAGCAAATTCTATTTATTTGAAATGTCTAAAACAGGCAAATCCATAGAGACAGAAAGTAGATTCGTGGTTGCCAGAGATTAGAGGCAGGGCAAATTCACACAAAATGAGGAGTAACTGTTACTGGATATGGGGTTTCTTTTGGGGGTGATGATAATGTCCTGAGATTAGAGGTGGTAGCTATACAACTGTATGTACAGAGTAAAAACCACTGAATTGTACACTTTAAAATGCTGAGTATTATGGTTTAAAGGATGTCTCACCAATCACTATATATCAATATTTATGTATGTAAATAAAAAATAATATTTGAGTATTTCCAAAGTCAAATAGAATAAATACTTCTTAGAACTACTTACAATTTTTTTTAAAATTTAGCCTTGAGACCAATAAAAATAGCAGTTTCAGTTACAATGTACAGCTGTATGCACATTTTCATTATAGCAGGACCTGCTAAGCATCCGTAAGCCAATTACTTATAGGACACAGAAAATAATGCTCAAAGGATACTACTGCCCACTACAGAGGCTACAGAAATCTAAGCAAGATGCTCTCTTTCAAAATCAGCCTTGGCACGCAACTCACCAAGTACACTGCCCTTTGGAAGACGCTTGTGGTTTCCAAGATTTTGTGCATTGTGATGGTTTCCAGCTCATCAGGATCCAGCTGTTCCTTTTCAAAGGGCATTCCGTTGAACAGAACAACAGGCAGGGGGCCAACTCCAGTCTGTGCATAGTAGCCTCTTGCTTCCTGAAACACAAGGAACCACAAGAACAGCTTACGTTTATCCTTCATGAGACAAACAGACCAAGCATATTTTCGCACATTAATCCTCTAAAAACAAAACAAAACAAAAAATCAACAGAAATATGGTAAAGAAGAAAACTAAAAATTAATTTTTAAAAATAAAGTGACATCATAGCTAATATCCTACTAGATAAATTTGAGACTGAATGGCTGAGTTTTTATAAAACTACAAAAGCTTGCAATTAGGAAGGGTGTGTGTGTGTGTGTGTGTGTGTGTGTGTGTGTGTGTGTGTGTGTGTATGTAGCAGAGGCTACCAAAACTAAAAGACATGTACCACAGTCAGTACTACACAGCAGAACTTTCTGCAACAACAAAAAGAGTCTATTTGTGCTATCCAACACAGTAGCCACTAACCACATGTAGCTAATAAATACCTGAAAACTGGCTACTATGACTAAGAAACTAAACTTTTGATTTTAGTTAATTTCCATTAAAAATTCCACATGTGGCTAGGGCTACCATATTAGGCTACACAGCTACAGACTACTACAAGTTATTAGTGCTTTGGGGCAACAATCCTGAGATAAAATATTTACACCCAATTCTAAATAAGGGCATATACGTCATTACCAAATAAATTACACCTGTAGAAAGCAAAACAAAGTTTTGGGGGAATAGTGCTGAAAAATTGCTCTAAGATATACTAAGCCTAATCTTTTCTCTTCTTAAAACAAACAGTTTGTTGACAGGGAAATGTTACGGCAGCAAGATGACAAATGCATCTGAAAGGGACACTTTTCCTGACCTTGACACCGGGACTCTTCCCTCAGAGTAGTTTTTCAGAGTAAATATCATATTAGTTCAGTGCCCTTATTGATGAAGTGTGTGCCCCTCCCCCGCCCCGGCAGTTTTCCACTACTGCCAATCCCTTTTTTATAGTATTATAATTGTTCAGGGTCTGCTTATGAGTGAGAACATGCAGTACTCAGTTCTTTGTTTCTGTGATAGACCACTGAGTATCACAGACTCTAAATCCATCCCAAGTTGCTGCAAAGTTCATCATTTTGTCCTTCTTTATGGATGCATAATATTCCATTGTGTATATGTACCACTTTTTTAATCCAGTCTACTTCCAATGGGCAGCATGGTTGGTTCAATATTTTTGCCATTGCAAACAGTGCTGCAATAAACAGTCATAGAACAGGTATCTTCTTTATAGAATGATTTGAGTTCCTCTAGGTATATTCTCAGAAGAGAGACTGCTGGGTCACACAGGAGGTCGATTTTTAGATCTTTTAGGAATCGCCACACTGTTTTCTACAGAGGTTGTACTAGTTTACACTCCCCACCAGCCGTGTAGAAGCATTCTCTTTACCCTGCATCCTCTCCAGCATCTGAGTACTGCATATTCTAACTCAAGTTTCAATTTGCATTTGTTTGATGACTAATGAGGCATCTGCTGACCGCTGGTATGTCTTCTTTTGAGAAGTATCAATTCACATCTTCTGTCCACTTTTTTTTTTGAGTCGGAGTCTCACTCTGTCGCCCAGACTGGAGTGCAGTGGCCGCTCCCGGCCACCGCAGCCTCGACCTGCTGGGCTCTGGCGATCCTTCCACCACAGCCTTCCAAGTAGCTGGAACTACAGGTGCGCGCTACCACGCCCGGCTGATTTTTTTGGATTTGTTGTAGAGATGAGTTCTTGCCTGCCCAGGCGGGTCTCGAACCCGCGGACGCAGGCAATCCACTCAGCTTAGCCGCCCAAAGACACGGGATTACAGGCTGAGCCACCAAGCCCGGTTCTGTCCACTTTTTAATAGAGCTGTTTTTTTCTCTTTTTAGCATACTTGAGTTCCTTGTAGATCCTAGATGTTAGGCCTTTGTCAGCTATAAAGTTGGAAAATATTTTTTCCCATTCTGTGGGTTATCTCCCCACTCTCTTGATGGTTTCTTCAGCTTTGCAGAAGCTTTTCAGTTTGATGAGGTCCCACTTATCTATCTTATCTCTTATGGCATGGACACTTGGGGACTTGATCAGGAAGAGAAGGCCAACTTAAATTTCCATCAGGGTGTCTCTTGCGTTTTCTTTTTTTTTTTTTTTTTTTGAGTTGGAGTCTCACTCTGTCGCCCAGGCTAGAGCGCAGTGGCATACTCGGGGCCACCCCAGCATCAACCTGCTGGGCTCTGGCGATCCTTCTGCCTCAGCCTTCCAAGTAGCCGGAAGTACAATAAATAAATTAAATTAGTGCACTACCACGCCTGGCTAATTTAATTTATTTATTGTAGAGAGGAGGTGTCGTCAAGTTGCCTGGACTGGTCTCAAACTCGCGGGCTCAGGCAATCCACTCACCTCTGCCTCCCAAAGTACTGGAATTACAGGCTGAGTGGCCAAGTCTGACCATTTTCTACATTCTTATAGTTTGAGGTTTTACTTTTAGGTCTTTGATTCATTTAGAGTTGATTTTTGTGTATGCTGATAGGTAGGAGTCTTGTTTTAATCTTCTGCATGTGGTCAGTCACTTTCCCCAGAAGAAAGTTATTTTAAAAATGCTTACTAAATACCTTGCAATGGATATTTTCTGGAAACAGTATTTAATTATTTCTAATCACTTTTAGATAACACAAGTATAAAAGTACTTAAATTGGGTAACAAATACCAGTCATCAGTAATAGACTTTTTAGTTTTTTTCTGTTGTTGTTTTTAAGATAGCATATACTTTATGAGAATCAAATACCTGATTATCTGAGACTGTTTAGTTTCTAATCAGATCTAGTCACAGTAATAAATGATGGTACGGACTTAACTGATGGACACAACCAAAAAGGCCTTCTAGGTTGGTTTCAGTCATTCTTCTATGCCATTGCTTACATTTTTAAAACATAAACTCCTAAAGCTCTTACCACATTAATTCTGTTCTTTGAAATCTCAACTATAGCATAGAAGTTCATAAAAACTCAACTTTAATCTAACTTGAGCTTTGAAAACTTACCCCCCCCAAAATTAAAACACAACACAACCAAAAGCCCACATTGTGACAATAAGAAATAAGTAACGCTGGTTTATCCTGGAAATGTTAACAGAGTAAAAGTCAGAAGTGAAAGGAGGCTGTTTTGACGGCATACCTGCCTCTTTTTTAACCACTTGTAATAGTTTACAAGACCAAATAACAGAATACAGTCCAATTATCAAAGAGTCAAATTCAAAAGTCACATGTACAAATTACCAACAGATATCTAAAAATGATAATTAATGATACTTAACAAACATTAATTTCAGGCAGTCTTATACTATGTCACTCACAAATGACAACTAATATTAATAAAGAATCAGTGATAACATGCCAAATGCAAAATGATTGTATGTGTAAGTTATGACTTTTCCTAATGCCCTTATCTTACTGGCTTTGAAAGACATAAATATATACCTATCAGACTATATTCTCTTCAGTTTAAAATTTCTACTTTAATTGCATTGCCTACTTTTAGAAATAGTTACTTTTTTTCAGATATTACATGTAAAAAATATCATAACTTCAGATTTATAACAAAAGGAACAGATATTTGTAACAAAAGGAACAGATATTTGTAAGTGCAATGACACTTACTAAAAGCAGCTATTTTCCTAAAAATAATTCATTCCTTTGGCCTTGTTTGTATGGGGGTAAACGCTACTATAATTTTAAAAATCTTATTAGTCATTAGATTCTTAGGACTCTTGGGATCCTTTCCACATCCTTGCTTTGAGAGTACTTCTGCTCAAATAGCTAGAAAATCAAACAGCTTAAATGGGCTGTAATCAGTACAGCTGAGGAAAATGGCCAAGTCTACAAAACTACTAAAGGGCTCAGTTTGTGATGCTCTCATTCGAATCTTCAGCCAAATCAAAATTTTAACACACAAAAGCATGTAAAAAATACCCCTTTCCCCAATTCGTCTACTCTATGCAACATTTTTCAAGCTAATACTTTTGATGCAGCAATCATTCACAATGAAAGGTTACTTGTACTTTTTTTCAAACGGATAAAGGAATATCAGAGTTAAACATTTTCAAAGTGTAAAATATGAAAAAATTCCAAGAATTCCCTCAAAACTTTGGTATTCACTAAGTGGTCCTCCTTTCATTTACTCTTTTTCTGTAGAGTACGATTCTTGCGGTTTGTGTCATCTAGAAGCAAAACATTACGAGGTGCCTGTATCAATATCATTTTATTTTAAAACCCAGAAAAAGTGACTGAACAGAAGGCTGTAGTATTATAATGATACCATTCCTAGGTTACACTGAGTAGATCTCATCAAATCTAAGCCTGACTTGACATGCCTTAAAACAAGCAGATTTAACACGAAAGCACAGAACCAGAAACAGGACAGAAAAAGGAGGGAGGCAAGCTGGCATCCTGTCAGAGCTTCTAGCTCCTGGTATAAGTTTACTTTTCTAAAAGTACTGGCATTGAGCCAGTATTTAATTTGTCTTGTACTCAGTATCAATTTATACATATATATATATAATAAGCCTTTGTCCCTCTGCAGTTTTGAATTCCCAAGATAGGGAGCTGTCACCACCTCCTGGAAGCCCTCCACAATCACCTTGTCCCAAACCGGCAGAATGTTCACCATTACACTGGGCCTCCGTGTACAAGGTGCAACCACCACACACACTCAGAACCTCACCATCACCTGAACCACACCACTCTCCCCCATGAGTCTCCTCCAGCTAGCCTGTGGGAACCGCCCACGTACAGGCACCACATCTTGCTCAGCCTTATCGTATTGGGGCTGGCACAGTTAACCAATACTACTATGTTTCTAAGTTAGAACTTTATTCCTCACTCCAAAGGAGTTCAGAGATGTCTCTAAGTTGCTAAACTCTTGTGTTTTGTTCTTGATAAAAATGTTTGGTTTAGTCCCTCTACCACCTGGATCAACTTACAGTAGCAAATCTCTTAATCAACCTCAATTAACTAATTTACCCAGTTAACAAATACCAGCTTTAAAGTATGCTAAGCCGGGCTCGGTGGCTCAGCCTGTAATCCCGCACTTTGGGAGGCTGAGGTGAGTGGATTACCTGAGTCCGCGGGTTCGAGACCCGCTGGGCAACTTGGCGAGACCTCCTCTCTACAGTGAATTAAAAAAATGAGCCGGGTGTGGTAGCGTGCACTTGTAGTTTCAGCTAACTGGAAGGTTGAGGCGGAAGGATCGCCGGAGCCCCCAGGTCGAGGCTGCGGTGGCCGGAAGCGGCACTGCACTCCGTCTAGGCGACAGAGTGAGACTCCAACTCAAAAAATAAAAATAAAATAAAAAAATAAAGTATGCTGAACACTTACATACACTGGTGAGCTACTCTCTAGAACACCCACATACTTTGGTTGCTGCTGTTTTGTGATCTGTGATTTTGTGCTTAATTACCTCAAGTCTTATGATCACATAGCTTTAAATCTGCGTACCTCACCATTACTTTAATCCTCTTAAGGAGCTGGCAAAAGCACCATTATGCATGCACAGGAGAATTCAAAGGTTTAACTTGCTACTATCTCTTGCTGCACTTTCTTTTTTTTTTGAGTCAGGATCTCACTCTGTTGCCCAGGCTGGAGTGCAGTGGTAATCATGGGTCACCACAGGCACCAACTCCAGGGCTCAAGCAATTCTACTGGCTCAACCACCTGAATAGCTGGAACTACAGGTACATACCAACACATCCAGGTAAATTTTTTTCTTTTGGTAGAAACAAGGTTCTGCTATGTTGCCCAGGCTGGTCTTGAACTCCTGGGCCCAAACGATCCTCCTACTTCTGCCTCCCAAAGTGTTGGGACTACAGGCGTGAGCCACTGTACCCGGCCTGCACTGACTAAAAAGCATCTGACCTTATAGACTGTCTACAAATTGTGAGAAGTGTTAAGTATTCTTTATTCAGTATTACACATAAGCCACACTAAGATGCATTTCAGCAAGTAAAAGGCAGCATTTTGGACACAGGGACTAGAATGCCCACACACCTCTGATCCCTTCAGTTCTCTACAGGCTTACCAAGGATCGCAGTGCCTGTTCCATAACCAACTATTTTTGTTAGTGAAAGAACATAATATTACGTAAACCAGTAAAATATGAGTACAAAAATGAAAAGTTATTCTTCCCATAAAAACAAATGGAATGACCAGAACACTCAAAAAGGCAAGATGCTAAAACCAATTCATGGTGAATTGGGTGTGGGTCAGACAACTATAAAAAACTTGGGAAGGAGATTATGAAAATCTAGAAAGATTCTGTATTCAGATGAAAGGAAACTTACAAACAATTCATTCTGAGTATGTTTTATAAAAAAATGACAGCTCAGATCTCCAGAGAAACCAAAGGCCTTACCTTCATTTGAAAAAAAAAAAAACCGAAAACCCTTCCTCCACCCCCGCCAAAAAGTTGTTAAGTAAATACATCTTACTTGCTTTTAATCAGAATATTTCAGAAGTGTATTTTGATTCCTTGCCTTAACATGCATTTTTAGTAAGTTGACCAACTTGTGCTTGCAATAAGGTAAAGGCCCTTTACTATATTTACTGCCTCACTGGAAAAATAATTTATCATAAATTTAAAATTTTTAGTTTCCTCTTACTATAGCCTTATTATTACATGGTGCCATTCAGTTTAACACACTTTAAACACAGCCAATACAACATATATTAAGTTGTATAACATACCCTGGGTTCTATATACACCCAATAGATTTTATCCAGAACAATTTCATACACGTACTACCACTGCACTATGAAAAAGAAAATTTAAATTTAATAGGCAATATGCAAGTTAAAAATCCATGATCTTCACAAAACAAAACTGAAATATAAACTTTGTCAAATGCTGAAAAATGATCCGGTTTCTAAATTTTCAAGTGGTAGGTTGTGAAACACTTTAATGACCACCACCATTATGAAAAAAACTCCCCAAAAGCGGGAGTAAGGATAGTACAGTGTTGAAGTTGAATAAGAAGAGCCAGAGAATGTCTTACCTTCCGATTTTGATCGTAAGCTGAGTCAATGCCCAAAATGCTGTTCACTGCTACATATGGATATTTCTTCTCCAGGACACCGACCACATGTTCAACTTTCACTTTTTCTCCAGTCCTCACCTTGTTATAGATCTGAAGAAATATGACAAAAAATTTCTGAATACAGAGAAAACCATGACTATTTTTCTGAAAGGTCAAGTCGAGACATGTTAGCAAACTTTCCTTTTCTGTATACCTCATTAAGATGCCTTCTTAGGGTCAGGCCCAGTGGCTCATGCCCAGAACCACAGCACTTTGGGAGGCCGAGGTGGTGGGAGGATTGCTTGAGCCTAGGAGCCCAAGACCAGCCAGGGTGACATAGTGAGACCCCTCTACAAAAGCTTTAAAAACTAGCTGGGCGTGGTGGCATGTGCCTGTGGTCCCAGATGCTCAGGGGGCCGAAGTGGGACCCAAGGAGTTCGAGGCCGCAGCGAGCCTTGACTGTGCCACTGTACTCCAGTCTGGGCAACAGAGTGAGGTTCTACCTCAAAACAAAAACAAAAAAGATGCCTCCTTTTAGAAACTAAATCTGCTTAAGACAATTCAATCAGTTCATAGTAACATTAAGTCTCAAACGCAAAAATACATTAAGAAAAATCGGAATATATATATATATATATATATATATATATATGTAATCTTTGAAATAAAAACTCATGTCCATGATGTTTTAGGGAGGGGAGTTGCAAAATATATATGACATAATCCATTTTTAACAGACCAAAAAGACGTAACAACAAAACGGTATCTCTATATGTATAGTTAAATATCTAGAAGGATATAATACAACCTTTTAATTATGCCCACCTTTAAGAAAGATTAGGGAAGGAAGAAGAGTGAGACAGAGAGATTTTAAGATGGCGTTAATATTTGCATTTGTTTAAAGTGAACATATATAGTAATACTACTTTGGTAATAAAAAACCCATTTATCCTTTTCTTCATGGACATATCTGAGGTTAAAAAAAACTTTAATAAGTAGGCATCACAATATTTCTTATTCTGAGTGACTTCTTTTGAACCTGCTTCATTCTCCATAGCCCTGCTGCTAACTACCTGCCCCATCCCTTCTCATGGAGAGCACAGCAACAGCTCATCAACTAGCATCCCTGCCACTTTCTTTACCCTTCATCAGCTCCATCTCCACGGCAGCAGATTGATTTCTTAAATTCAAGAATGATTCCCAAGCTCTGAACACCCTGGCTGCCTAGCCTACAATGGCCTACAAGGACAGACCCCTCCTCCATTTTGCTCTGACAATTCTCTACTCGAACCACACTACTAACTTGGAATCACAACCCTCATTTGCTGCCTTGTTCAAATGATTCCCATTTTTCCGCCTAGACCCAGCTGGAACCACCTGTCACGCCACGAAAATGCCCATGACCATCCCCGGGAGGAGTGAGGTCCTCATGCAGCCACACAGAGTTGTGCTCTCCACATTGTATGATATCATCTGTTATTATATGACCCCCCACTAGCTGGTAAGGTCTTTGTGGACAGGGATGGTCTTATTATTCTCTGTGCCCCAACAGCTAGTTACAGCCATGGCACATAAAGGGCCTTCAATAAATATTAGAACATTTCTACTAACAATAAATGCTCTGCACGAATCTCTAAACAATAAACATAACATTAAGATAATAATAAACAGCAGGCTAACATCAGGTTTAGAGGTAAAAGTGGTTAAAATCAATTACTTCAAACATAACGTTTTCTCTTTTACTTTCTTTTTTATTTTTATTTTTTTGAGTTGGAGTCTCACTCTGCCGCCCAGGTTATCGTGCAGTGGCATGCATACAGCCACTCCAGTGCAGACCCACTGGGCTCAGGCGATCCTTCCACGTCAGCCCTCCAAGTACCCGGAACTACACGCATGCACTACCACGCCTGGCTATTTTTTTTATTTATTGTGGAGATGAGGTCCCACCAAGTTGCCCAGGCTGTTCTTGAACCTGTGGAATCAGGCAATCCCCTCTTCTCGACCTCCCAAAGTGCTGAGATTACAGGCTTGAGCCACTGCTATTTTTATTTTTTTAATTTTATTTATTTATTCATTTATTTTGAGTTGGATTCTCACTCTGTCGCCCAGACTGGAGTGCAGTGGCCGCTCCTGGCCACCGCAGCCTCGACCTGCTGGGCTCCGGCGATCCTTCCACCTCAGCCTTCCAAGTAGCTGGAACTACAGGCGTGCGCTACCACGCCCGGCTAATTTTTGATTTATTGTAGAGATGAGGTCTCGTCAAGTTGCCCAGTTGGGTCTCAAACCCACGGACTCAGGCAATCCACTCACCTCAGCCTCCCAAAGGCACGGATTACAGCCTGAGCCACTGAGTCTGGCTCTTTTTCATTTTTAACTTTTGAGACATACAGGGTCTCACTATGTTGCCCATGGTGGTCTCAAATTCTTGGACACAAGTGATCCTCCCACCTCAGCCTATTAAGTAGCTGACATTACAGGTATGCATCCTCACACCTGACTAAACATGATTTTAAAAAAAACAAAACGGTTACCATTAATCCGTAAACAAAAGAACTATTATTTAGTTTTGAGTATAGACCGTTTATAGTCAAAAGCAGGAAAAAAAATACAAGAAAACAATGATAATTCTCTGAATGTGAACGAGTATATGCCTTGTAAATACACACACACACACACACACACACACACACACACACACACACACACATTAGGGCATTACAAAGTTTCCATTAAAAATGAAAAAATGCAGTCTGCTAGTCAAGAATTTTATGATTTGAATATTAAACTAAATCCTAATCATAAAATCATATAAAAAAAGTAAACACTTTTTCAAAAAAGTAGAGAACGTCACATTTGCCAAAAGGCTAATGTTAGTGATATAAAATCATCAAAGGCAGAAGATTAAGCTACATTAGTCCATCTAAGAAATCTTAGCTGAAGTCACAGCAATCTATCATTAACTTTGTAAATCAATGAAAAGGCAACCCTGAAATATAAAACACACAGATTTTGTGTGAAGAATTTGCTTTTTCCCTTTATGGATACATAGAACCCTCTGACCACATACTGTGCTTTAGATTGTTAGGTTTAGTCATTCTGAACAAAGACATACATGTGTTAGAGTTTGGAAGGCATGATATTCATCCACTTCTTGGGCAACATAATTATACGCTCTAAGAACAGCCACTCCAGCATCTTGCATCCCATCGACATCTTCAGAGTCATTAACCACAAAGATAAAACCAATTCTGCAGGGGGAGGAAAAAGAAGAAAATCATCTCATAGAATGCAACCAATAAAAGGAAATGGCCTCTTTGTACTCCCCTCATCTGTTGTGGCTAATTGAGGAAATACATCCTCATGTGAAAACCACACTTTGTGAAAACCACACTCCCTAACATGGCTGGCAAAGGCATACACACCCCACTTAAAAATTAGAAAGCAGGTTCTCAAATGTGGCTTGAACTTTTCTACTGTTAACGCTCTATATCACGAAAGATTCCTTTACTGACATGAAGAGCATTGCCACAATTTTTAGAAGGAGATTCTGCTTTTAAACAAAAATTAGAAGAAATAATTTTCAGAATGCAAAAGTGAGCAGAAAAGGAAGACTTTGAGATTTAACACAATATGAAAATTATAAGTAAAAGGAAAGCAGAAAAATATTTGTAATTGTTCTGTAGCAAAAAGCTATAACAAGATTAAAGTTTGGCCAGGCTTGGTGGCTCAGCCTGCGATCCCGGGACTTTGGGAGGCCAAGGTGAATAGACTGCCTGAGCCTGAGGGTTCAAGACCAGCCCAGGCAACATAGCAAGACCTTGTCTCTACAATTAAGGAAAAAAAAATTAGCTAGGCATGGTAGTGCGCACCTGTAGTTCCAGCTACTTGGAAGGCTGAGGCGGAAGGATCGCCTGAGCCCAGCAGGCCAACGTGAGTGTGCCACAGAACTCCAGCCTGGGCGACAGAGTGAGACTTCAACTCAAAAAAAAAAAAAAAAGATTAAAGTTTATTAAATTAGGTTATTAAATTTTAAAATTTAGCCGGGCTCGGTGGCTCAGCCTGTAATCCTGTGCCTTTGGGAGGCTGAGGTGAGTGGATTGCCTGAACCCGCGGGTTCGAGACCCGCCTGGGCAGCGAGACCTCATCTCTACAATAAATCAAAAAAAATCAGTTGGGCGTGGTAGTGCATGCCTGTAATTCCGGCTACTTGGAAGGTTGAGGCGAAAGGATCGCCAGAGCCCAGTAGGTCGAGGCTGCGGTGACCGGGAGCGGCCACTGCACTCCAGTCTGGGTGACAGAGTGAGACTCCAACTCAAAAAAAAAAGAAAAAGAAAAGAAAAGGAAACAGAGCCGGGGTCGGTGGCTCAGCCTGTAATCCCACGCCTTGGGAGGCTGAGGTGAGTGAATTGCCTGAGCCCATTGGTTCGAGACCCACCTGGGCAACTTGGCGAGACCTCATCTCTACAATAAATCAAAAAATAGCCTGTACAGGTGTGGTAGCATGCACCTATAGTTCCAGCTAGTTAGAAGGCTGAGGCGGAAGGATTGCCGGAGCCCATCAGGTTGAGGCCACGGTGACCGGGAGTGGCCACTGCACTCCAGTCTGGGCGACAGAGTGAGACTCCAACTCAAAAAAACAAACAAACAAAAGAACAAAACAAAGAAAAACAAAAACAAAAACAAACAAATTTTAAAATTTAAAATAAATAAATCACAAAGAGACATCATTATATAGCTATAGACTGGCTGGCAAAAAAAGACTTGCACCAGCCAGTGGGGCAAAAGCAATTCAATGGACGAAGAATAGTCTTTTCAATAAATGGTGCTGGAAGAACTGGACATCCACACGCAAAATAATGAATCTAGATATAGATTGCACCCTTCAAAAAATTAACTCAAAATGGACCGTAGACTGAACCATAACACACAAAATAATAAAATTCCTAGAAGAATTCTGTTCTTTTTGTCTAGAGAAGACAATTTAGGTGATCTTGGGTTTGGCAAAGACATGTTAGATCCAAAAGCACGATCCATAAAAGACAAAACTGGTAAGTTGGACTTCATTAAAATTAAAAACTTCTGCTTGTGAAAGACACTATTAAGAGAATAAAAGGACACGCTATAGACTTACAGAAAATATCTGCAAAACATTCATCTGATAAAGGACTGGTATAAGAAAGATACAAAGAACTCTTAAAACTCAACAATAAGAAAACAAATAACCAAGTTTTGAAAGGGGTAAAAGATCTAAACAAACACTTCACCAAACAAGATATACAGATAGTAAATTGGTAGGTGATGAACATCATAAGTCATTATGGGATTGGGTCAGGTGTAGTGGCTCACGCCTGTAATCCTAGCACTTTGGGAGGCTGGGCCAGGAGGATTTTTTGAGCCCAGGAGTTCAAGACCAGCCTGGGCAACATGGTGAAACCTCACCTCTCCAAAATTCAAAAGAATGGGTCAGGCATGGTGGTGTGTGCCTGTAGCCCCAGTTACTTGGGAGGTTGAAGTGGAAGGATGGTCTAAGCCCAAGAGGTCAAGGCTGTGGTGAGCTCTGATATTGCAACTGCCCTCCAACCTAGGTGACAAAGTGAGAACCTGACACAGGCACGCACATGCATGCACGCGTGCACACACACACACACACACACACACACACAAAAGTAATTAAGGAACTGCAAATTAAAACCATAATGGCCAAAATCTAAAACACTGGCAAGACTCAGCGTTGACAAAGATGTAGGACAACAGGAATTCGCACTCAAGCCACCAGGAATGCAAACTGGTACAGCCACACTGGAACAGTTTGGCAGTTTCTTACAAAACTAAGCATACTCATCCCACAAGACACAGCAATCATGCTCCTTGGAATTTACTCAAAGTAGCTGAAGACATTCCCACACAAAAGCCTGCACCTGGATGTTTATAGCGCTTTATTCACAAGTGCCAAAACTTGGAGGCTACTAGGATGTCTTTAACAAGTGAATGGACAAATAAATGGAGGCACATCCATATAATGGAATATTATTCTTTGAAAAAATGTACTATCAAGTCACAAAAATATACAGAGGATCCTTAAATGCACACTAAGTGAAAGAAGTCAATCTGAAAACGCTATGTACTGTATAATTGCAACTATATAACATTATGGAAAAGGCAAAACTAGGAAGACAGTAAATAGATCAGAGATTGAGAGAGATTGAGAGAAAAGGAAGAAGGGACAAATCCGTGGAGCTCAGGAGATTTTTAGGACAGTGAACCTAATCTGTACTCAACTATATTATATGAATACCTGACATATTTGTCAAAATCCTTAGCGTGTGCAACACAAACAATGAATCTTAATGCAAACTATAGTTTAGTTAATATATCAATATGAGCTAATACTCAACATAGCTCTAAAAAACCTACAGTCTATCAATTTTTTAAAAAGAGGGGACACCGGACACAGTGGCTTGCGCCGATAATCCCAGCACTTTGGGAGGCGGAGGTGAGAGGCTTGCCTGAGTTCAGGGGTTTGAGACTAATCTAGATAACATGGTAAGACCTCATCTATACAATAAATCAAAAAAAAAAAAAAAAAAAGCTGGGCATGGTGGTATGCACCTGTGATTCCAGTTCCTTGGAAGGCTGAGGTGCAAGGATCACCTAAGCCCAGCAGGTCAAGGTTGTGGTGGGTGTGAGTGTGCTACTGCACTCAGCATGGGTGACAAAGTGAGACTCCTACTCAAATAAATAAATAAAAATTTTAAAAGAGGGGACACTCTAAAAAAGAAGAAGAAAATGTAAGCAGATACAAATCAAACATCAAATTGTTCATACCAGTTATCTCTGGGGAGGTGTGTGTAAAGTGTGTATGTATATGGATGGGACTGGGGAGAGGATTTCTTTTTAGATAAAAATCATCTTTGTATTTTAAAAATCATACTTATGATAGAAATCAAATGATAGACTATGGGCAGAAAAGACCTACATATTCTTATGCAAACAAACACAGGAGTTCAAACCTAATTAAATCATCAGAACTGTACCTCCTCACAAACTAATGACCCCTTCCCCAGTTTCCAATTTCTAGAAAAAGCATCAGAGTTTTTCTGTTAGCTAAGCCTTCACACTCCTGCTTCTCCAGAGCCCAATTCCTCATCAAGTACCATTGCAAAGTCTCTCAGCTGTATGCCCTCCTCTCTGCAGCCTCTGGTCAACACCTTAGTGTTGGACCACATCGGCTTACCCAAAGAGGACAAGAATGGCCTGTCTGCCTGGGTCTCCCCACCAGCCATTCACCACAACTCTCTGTTGCCTGAAGTTCAAGTGCCACCTTCTCATGCCCTCTGAAGTCCGAAGACCACATTCTCTCTTTCTGTCCCTTAATACAATTCAATAAATGCTCAGAGTTGACTATTTCTATGCTCTTAGATTTCTCTTTTAATCAAAACATAGCTCTGGTTGTAATCCAGTAATGTATTTCTCTATCCAACCAGATATATTCATTTTATAAGAAAAATGTCATTTAAAATAAAAATCTCTGCCTTTAGCAATCAAAACTCTCTATGTTCTTCAAAGCCTACCAGAAATCGAACTTCTCCATAAAACCTCTCTGCTTCCCATATATCCCAATGTTTTTCATTCCCTGAAATTCTAAAGTATTTATAACTAGTAGAACATAACCTAGCATTTCATCAGTTATCTTCCTAAATTGTCTGAAAGTATATAGAAGACTTTTTCCATAAACATAGGAATATGGCTTAAATATCATTCATAGCATTTAGCTCAGTGCAGGTCATGGAACACACAGTAATATGTATTATCCAAAGGGTTGTTTGTTTTCATGGTTTCTAAGAATTCAAATTTCATCAATATGTAAAATTACCAGAATTATTCAGAATGTAAGTGAAAATATCTTACCACTTACATGTAAGTTTTAAAAAATTGGCTTTGAAAGGAAAAGTAGAGCCAGGTCCAGTGACTCACACATATAATCCCAGTACTTTGGGAGGCAGAGGCGAGAGGATTGCCTGAGTTCAGGGTTTCAAGACCAGCCTGGACACCTTGGTGAGGCCTCGTCTCTACAACACATAAAAAAATTAGCCAATCATGGTGGCGCGTGCCTGTGGTTCCAGTTACTTGGAAGGCTGAGGCGGAAGGATCACCTGAGCCCAGCAGGTTGAGACTGTGGTAGCCATGAGCATGCCACTGCACTCCAGCCTGGGTGACAGAGTGAGTCTTTGACAAAAAAAGAAAAGAAAAGAAAAATAAAAAGAAAGAAACAATGGAAATTCAGCCACTCAGTACCTTGTTGGTAGATCTGGCAACACAAGTGAAATAAATGTGTCTGTCAGTACCTACAAAAGATTGTGTACACATTTAGTCCTTGATAGTCGGGCAAAAGTTACTGGCAAAGTTCTATATCTCTGCTGAAAGTGGAAATAGGTTTTGTGATGTGAACACCCACCTAGAAAAATTTCCTTCCATTGGGAAGCAAGCTGAGACCACAAACTACTTATACTCAGGCTATTCATTAATAATTCAATTGTGGTAAGCTTCTGAGAATTAAATTCTAATTCCCAAAAGATACGGGTTTCATACTGACTGAAAGATAAAACTGCCATTAACAAGCCCCACTATTAATTATCCCACAATTCAGTAGCACCAGACTTGCACTTTAAAAAAAGAGAAAAAGAAAAAGCAGACATTACAACATAAGCTCCATCAACTTTTCTTACTTTCATTTCAAAGTTTATAGCCTTACACAAATTCTCTTTGCTTCTGTCTCTCAGGACAAATGACCCCATCTCCCTATGGAGTGAATTCTACCCTTTAAGACTGTGATATCAAATGGAACGCAACGGGGTCTAATCTGAGCTTGTTATTCACCTGTCTCTGTCAGCACACCAGCATGTTCAGTCCCCTACACTTTAAACTGCATTTCTCCTTGATTTGTCACCATCATGCTACACCAATCTGTGGCAAACTACAATGCATTCACCTGTTGGAACGCATTGCTTTTTCCTTTCTGCCCCCGCCTGGAGATGTCTTTCTTATGCTCCCCCTGGGTCACAGGTCTAGCCTCCTTGCTGGTCTTTGAGATGCTCTCACACTCAATGGCCCATATCGTTTCCCTCATCAATAATCACAGCAATGCCCGAGGATCCAACTTTGAGCAGTGTTTAGGACCTCAATGATCCAGTTCCTCACATGCCCACACATGCCACACTTCTCTCTAATGGAGAGTGTGCTTCTTGGTGCCTTTCATATCCATCACTTGGAGTGTCTCCCGTTCCCTGCGACGATCTACACTCTACTCATTCGCCACAAATTACATCAGTTGGTGTTCATCTTTCCCTTCTCCAAATGTCCACTGTATATGTAGTCTGGAATATATGTGGCTTTGTACTATTTTTATTATTCTTTAATTTCTTCTTGTTTTTGAGACTTGTCTATAATGAGGGAGTCTTCTCCGTAGGAGGAGTCTTTATCTTACACATCTTTTATCATCCCAATAATGTTGGTCACTTATTTAAGCACTTACTATAAATATCCTTTTGCTCCCCCAAAAAAAAGGATGACAAACAAAACCTCAGCTAAATTACATATATCATCAAATCAACACCAGTGTTACCTTAGTGGTATGTGATTACTGAGGAACATCTCAGCTGTGTTAATCAACTCTGCTGTGTTCTCATGTGCAGGATCAACTATGAAAACCTGTGGAGGAAATGGAAAAGAACGCATGAAATAACATTTATGCAAATGTTCCTGGACCAACAGAAATGTCATTAGCCTTTGCACATGAAGACAACCTTTTTCCAGCTCCTATTAAACCACATACAAAAGGAATTATACAAAAAGCAATTATCCCCTCTATGTTCCAAGAACGTGGTACCACAGTGCTAGTTATGGGCTTATTATGCTGATAACACGGAAACTGTATTCCAGGTTGCCAACACCTATTCTTCTACTACACCAAACAAAAATCAAGTTTTAGCAACTCTTTCACCTTAAAGAGTGGAGATTCTCCCTTTGTGTATTCATTTCTGAGGATCTAGGAATTAAGAATTCATCTAGAGCCCAGCTCTTAGCCCACAGTAATAAGGGAGCACATAAGCACTCACTGCATGCTAAGCAACTTACACATACTGTCTCACTTGATAAAGATCAGACATATGGTAATATGTCTGGGAAAGAAAAAAGTAGTTTCAAGAGTGAGAAAAGCACAGAAAGCAGTTTCCCCCGCAAGTGCTGAGGAAGCCAACCCTGGCACTAACCTGCTCCACCTCCCTGGCAGCTGGGTGAGAAAAGAGAAAGAAGGGGAGGAAAAGGCCAGCCAAAAACCTTCTTTCACTCTCTCTCTCTCCAGCAGGGAAAGACAGAGTAAGAAGTAGGAACTTAGAAAAGACTTGAATCACTAAATTTTAGGAATCAAGATATTAAAGAAAAACAGTAGTGATATGTACCTTCTAAGTAAAAGAAGTAAACTACCTTAAAATTAAAATGCCACTAAAAAAAATAAAGTCATTAAAAAAAAAAAAGGCAAACCAATAAGAAAACTAGAATGACATAGTCTAAGACAGACATGTTCAACCTGTGATCTGTGGGCTGCAGGTGGCCCAGGACAGCCAGTAACATGGACCCAAAAATCTTTTAACATCATGTTTTTTAACATTTATTTTCTTTGTGATCCCATGCATAGTTCCACTTCTGAACTTCACAATCAGGCCTTACTCATGACATTGCCGTTCGGCAGGACCTACATCTGTGAGCAGCTGTTCTCAATTATGTAGCACACAAAAAGCAAAATTTGAACAAACATTTCTGTCAAGCACTTTGAGAACTCACTAAGAATTGTGACCACTTCCATCAAACCAAACATTGATAGATCAGTTTTAGGGACAAGGTCAAATTTCCCACTAGTTTTTATATTGTTCTTATTTTTCTAAACTTTATAATGTGTGACCCAAGACAATTCTCTTTTACTCGATGCAGCCCAGGGAAGACAAAAGGTTGAACATTCCTGGTCTAAGCCTTTGTGTTAAGCATCAGGAGAATTTTCTCACACAGGAAGGACTGTAATGCTGCTGCCCATCTCAGGGTCCTATGAATAGTCCACACATTCCAAAACACTTTTGGTTTGAGTACAGAGCATATTTATTTGGTGGTGGCAGTGGTGGGAGGAAACAGTTAGTAAAAAAGTAAACATTCTACATATGACAAAAAAATAGGGGAGAGATCAAGGGAGAAACAGAGTTCACAGTCAGACAATAGTAAGTTTTACTTACCATGTTATGTAAGTTTTTTCTGATCTGCCGGATAACACCAGGAAAGGTGGGTCGCAGCAACTCTTGTAGACTAGAAGGCCACGAATTATATCTGCTATCAACCTCTAGGTTATTGACCCACTACAAAAAAAACATGGCGCAAACCCTTTAGTAAGCAGTTACTAAAATTTGCAGTAATAACAATATAACTTTAAATTATTTTAAGAAGAATCACATGGGACAAGACCATTTTCAAAGATACAAAGAGTAGGTAGAAAAATGAGTGACTAGCCGGGCTCGGTGGCTCAGCCTGTAATCCCGTGCCTTTGGGAGGCTGAGGTGAGTGGATTGCCTGAGCCTGTGGGGTTCAAGACCCGCCTGGGCAGCGAGACCTCATCTCTACAATAAATCAAAAAATCAGCCAGGCGTGGTAGTGCACACCTGTAATTCCGGTTACTTGGAAGGCTGAGGCGGAAGGATCACCGGAGCCCAGCAGGTCGAGGCTGCAGTGGCCGGAAGCGACTCTGGGCGACAGAGTGAGACTCAAAAAAAAAAAAAAAAAGAAAAATGAGTGACTAAAAAAAGACAAGCCATAGAATAGGTGAAGATCTTTGTAACCTACAAAACCAATAAAGGACTAATGTCAAGAATGTGAACAGAAATCTAACATATCACTTTTTAAAAAGGCAACCAACCCATATGAAAACAGGTCACGAACACAAAAAAGAAATTTACAGAGGAAATCCAAATGGGCATAAACACAAGGAAAATGTACACTCTCAAAAGTAATCTGGGAACTATGAGTAAAATCTCACACATAATTTCATACTCAGTAGGCTTAAAAAAACAGAAAGTTTGCCAATATCCAAGAATAGGCAAAGATAGCACGATGTGAACTCTCACCCAATGATGGTGTCTGGATAGTCTGGAACTAATAAATTTGAAGACTACAGTAGTGCCCTACTGCTAAGAACTCTAGTTCTAGGTTCCTACATGTATACACAAGAAGAGAGGCAAAAAAGAACCATTACAGCACTGTTTACAAAAGCGAAAATTTAGAAACAACTTAATGTTAATCCATAAAGAGAGTAATGAATAAATAAGCAGTACGTACTAAAAGACAGGGTGGGAAAATCTGTGTATATTTCCTAGCTCGTATATGCACAGAACATTTCTGTAATTGATAATGCTAGGTGCATCTGCAAAAAAAAAAAACCAAGCATTTTTCTCTATCTTCTCTGGACTTTTCACCATAAAGGTATATAGTGAGACTTGCATTTTAAGCTATCAAAGTATAAATGATTTTTAAAGTAAATAAAATATTATATGATAAACTATATGTATTGAGCTACGAAAGTCTTGAAAACTCTTGAGTAAAAAGAAAGTTGATGAGGGATATTAATAGGACACTGGACTATCCAAATTTTAAAAATACCTAATAGGAGCTGGGTGAGGTAGTCCCATCTACCAAGAGGCTGAAGCAGGAGGTCACTTGACCCCAGTACTTTGAGTTTACCCTGGACAACACAGAGAGACCCCATCCCTAAAAAATGTTTTAAAGCAAGAAAAAATTTAATAGAGAACAAAAGGATAAAATAAGGGACAGGAGGAACACACATCAACTTCAGAAAAAGAATGACCTGCAGGAAGGAGGGGGATGAGGAAGAAGTATAAAAAGGACTTCCACTGAAACATTTATTTTCTGAAAAAACAATAAATCTGATACAGAATTAGATGTTAACAGTAAGTATGGTGATGGGTCATATGGTTTTTAATTTCTGTGGTAACATAAACATGTGTCGTGTTTATGTTATTCTTTTTACTCTTTATAATCAAAAACATTTTTAATAGAAAAACAAATGACATTAACAAAGTATTAAACAAAATAACAGTTACATCACCAAGTAATAACTCAGGGGATGATCATCTACATTCTACATTATTTCTCTTTCAACAAAATTTCTCTAAAACAAATGGGTACAGAAACTAGGACAAAAAGATCTGCATGCCGAGGGTGTGCTGGGCATGTTAGCTCTGCCCCAATTTCATTTTTTTCTGTGACTGCCCAAGATAGTACTATTACTACATTTTCTTTGACAAATGGCGAGAAAAAGACTCAGATCCGATCATACAGCAGGCAAAAAGCTATACAAATTCTTCAAACTCCTACTAAAGTGATTTTTTTTTTTTTTTAGTTGGAGTCTCACTCTGTCACCCAGGCTGGAGTGCAGTGGCACGCTGCTCACAGTTACCACAGCCTTGACCTTCTAGGTTCAGGTGATCCTTCCTCCTCAGCATTCCAAGTACCAGGAATTACAGGGGTGTGCCACCACACCCAGCTAATTTTTTACTTTATTGTAGAGACAAGGTCTCACCATATTGCCCAAGTTGTTCTTGAACCCATAGGCTCTGGCAATCCTCTCGCCTCCGCCTTCCAAAGTGCTAGAATTACAGGCATGAGTCACCACACCTGGCCTAAAAAAATGGTATTTTTAATAGTAGTCATACCAGGTATGGTGGCTCATGCCTGTAATCCCAGCTTTGGGAGACAAAGGGGAGAGGATTGCATGAGCCCAGAGGTTCAAGACTAGTCTGGGAAACTTGGCGAGACCATGTCTCCACAACAAATAAAAAAATTAGTCGGGCATGGTGGCACATGCCTATAGTTCCAGCTACTTGGAAGGTTAAGGTGGAAGGATCACTTGAGTCCAGCAGGTCAAGGTTGTGGTGGCTGTGAGTATGTCGCTGCACTCCAGCCTGGGTGACAGAGTGAACGACTCCAACTCAAAAAAAAAGTAGTTTTAATACACAATGTTACAAAATCACATTAGACCTGTAAGAAACTGGGAAAAAACAAACTTAACACCCTTTTCCAAGAGATGCTCAGCTGAATCTCAGGGGCATGCTGAAGTGAAAAAAACCACTGACTCAACCACATTAGCCACAACTATTTAACTTTTTAGAGCATTTAAGAGCCTACTTTGTTATACACACAACGTTCCATTATAAGGATTGTAAACTTTTGATGCCAGCAAAAGAGATAGTGGGAATAGCTTAATTCTTTTAAAGATGGATTAGAAAAACATAATAGAGATATCTAGCCAAAATGTCCCTTACCACCCTAAAAAAATACTCACCGAAATGGCAGGACTCCTGATGTCCACTGCATAGTCAGCCTCAGAAGGCTGAATGTTCATCTTCAAAACATTATGCAGAGCAAGACCTTCTATTCCCAATCTATGCAGACCCTCCATTACCCGAGCTTCATTCCTCAACACATCAAACAGACTAGAAAAGAATTTTTAAAAATTATTTAGTAGGTTAAAAAACAAAACCAAAAAAAAAGGCTTTAAAAAAATCCTTCACCATGAAAAACATTTATCAGTTCAAATTCAGTGCAAAATCAGAGTTGAGAAATCAAAAAGGAAGCCCTTCCTCTTGTTTCATTTTGTCAAAGTATGCAGAAGTAGTTAAGATTTGTACTTATCAATGTATATATGTTATCTCAAAGTATAAAAATACAGTTTGAGAGTAAATTAACCTTAAAACCACACTTTTACACTGCATGTTTTTAAAAACAGTACATTCATCTCTTTGTAAAGCGGGTACAGTGGCTCATGTCTATAATCTCAGCAGTTTCAGAGGTGGAGGAGAGAGGACTGCCTGAGCCCAGGGGTTTGAGACCAGACTGGGGCAATTTGGCGACACCTCATCTCTACAATAAATCAAAAAATTAGCCAGGTGTGGTGGCATATGCCTATGGTTCCAGCTTCTTGGAAGGCTGAGGAAGAAGAATTGCCCGAGTCCAGCAGGTAGAGACTGCACTGGCCATGAACATACCATTGCACTGCAGCCTGGGTGACAGAGTAAGACTCCAACTCAAATAAAAAACCTCTGTATTATTTAATATATGTTTCAATATCAATACCAACAGGCACAGGCAAGCACAAATGACCACAGAAAAAAAGTCTGGAAGAATTCATACCCAACTTAGAGGTTTGCTTGGAGAGATCAAAAAAATGGGGAGGGGAATTAAATAAAAAGATGGGATGGACAGCTTTACAGTTTATTTCTGTATTATTTTAAATTATTTACATGAGCAGATATTCAATATGTAATACTTTGAAAAGTTAAAGATGCACAGAAATTTTCTGAGGCCGGGCTTGGTGACTCAGCCTATAATCCCAGCACTTTGGGAGCCCAAGGTGAGTTGGATTGCCTGAGCCTGCGGGTTCGAGACCAGCCCATGCAACTTGGGGGGACCTTGTCTCTACAATAAATCAAAAATTAGCTGGGTGTGGTAGCACATGCCTATAGTTCCAGCTACTAGGAAGGTTGAGGTAGAAGGATCGCCGGTGCCCAGCAGGTCAACGCTGGGGTGAGCAAGAGTGCGCTACTGCACTCTAGCCTAGGCAATGGAGTAAGATGCTAACTCAAAAAAGAAAAATTTTTTTCGCCAGGCGCAGTGGCTTATTCTTGTAATCCCAGCACTTTGGGAGGTCAAGACATGAGGATTACCTGAGTCCAGGAGTTTGAGACAAACCTAGGCAACATGGCAATATCTTGTGTCTGGGACTATGGATGTGGATCATGGAAGAGGGTGAGTCAGGAGGTCATTTGAGCTGAGCAGTTTGAGGCTACAGTGAGCCATGATCATGCCACTGCACTCCAGCCCAGGTGACATGAGTGAAACCCTAACTCAAAATAAACAAATACATAAATAACTTAATGAAAACACATATAAGCAAGCTTTTAAAGCATCCCCATTCATTTTACTGACTTATGACTAGCTCTAGATTGCTATATACAGACATAAAAGCTTAGTTAAAATAATTAATGTAGAAAACATCTTACTGTGGAAACTGCTCTTTCTGAAACATTAGCAATAGCTTTTGTCTTTACTATTACAAAGCCACAGTGTCAGTTATGTACATTTTAATTCCAAGAATAAAATCTGAATTCCACATGACTATCACCCACCTCCCCAAAAGTCATGAAGGCAATTTAGAGTACCTGCATCCTGCATCACATTTTAACAATCATGGGATAGTTATTCAAACAACGTACATAGACAGAAAGCCTCCTGAGATATGAGACAATATTTCGAACAACCTGACTTCACATTGTTCCAAAAACCCAAGAGCTGCTCTTTTCTGTGTTTCTAGGTTGAATGGAAAACCACAGCTCTCAAGGACAGCCTGAAAACACAGGGACACGTGACACAAGGTGGCGACATACCATGCTGCCCGCCCATGTCCTAAAGTGGGTCTGCCCACATCCACCTCGTATGCGAGACCTGTTAAGCCATCAGGTTTTGCCTCACGCCACACTAAGGAGGAATGACAATCTCAATGTGCCACAAGGGGCCACATGTTATGAAAGCTTTTCAGAGAACGAAAATACTATCCATACCTGAATATATCCTGTGTATCTAAATCGATGTGAAGTCCATTGATGAAGAGAGCTGAGTCTCCAGGCTGTAGTCCTAAAGTTCCCTTGAAATACTGAAAATTTTTAAAAAATTATTAAGGAGCAGTGAGAGCATGTTCAACAAACATTTCAGTGTTTCTGGGCATGATTATCTGTACAAATCTTGACATCCTAAGGCAAGGTTAAGGTGTTTTTCTATGTACTGTCAGAGACCCTTTTTTTTTTGAGTTGGAGTCTCACTCTGTCACCCAGATTGGAGTGCAGTGGCCGCTCCCGGCCACAGTAGCCTCGACCTGCTGGGCTCTGGCGATCCTTCCACCTCAGCCTTCCAAGTAGGCGGAACTACAGGCGCGCGCTACCATGCCCAGCTAATTTTTTTGATTTATTGTAGAGATGAGGTCTCGCCAAGTTGCCCAGGCGGGTCTCAAACCCGCGGGCTCAGGCAATCCACTCATCTCAGCCTCCCAAAGCATGGGATTACAGGCTGAGCCACCGAGCCCGGCTTGTCATTGACCCTTTTTAGCAGTTACTATGCTGATTGAAACTGCAGGTTTATAAGACATGCACCTTTCCTTCCCTTTCTCCTTCCACCCTCATTCTGAAGACAATTAATACAATTGTTTCCTATTGTGCTGAGGGAGGGAATAGGACAAGTGCTGAGGGTCACTTTTCAAAAAAGAGCAAGTAAGTAAAACAGGACTAATTAAACACCATCTATATTTCATTTCAAAACCCGTATTTCTTGATGCCCCATGATACATGAGGTATTTCACTCTTTCAGTTTCCTCTTCCAATAATACTTCTCTGAACTTAAGAGAAATAAGCCAGACACTGATGGTACAGACATATTAGTTACTTGCCTTGATAACAAAGTTCCTCATAACCAAAGAAATTAATGTACTCCCTTAATATCAAGGACATAAGGAAGTCACCCATCTTTAACTGGGATCCACACTAGGATGCTTCTTTCTGTTCAGCTGTCAAGTTACACAGGTTCTGGAATTCTCCATCTCTTTGCTCACCAGTGCCAGGTAATAGCTACATAAGCTTGCTCCCTGGCCTTTGTACACTTCTATTCCTTTCTCCGTTTGTGATGCCAACGGAGGTTGGGATAGACAGCAATTACAGCTGGACCTCCTTGACGAAGCCCATCGATTTAACCAAAGAGAGCTCCAAAACCCCGCATCTCCTTAAACCCTCACACTAAGGTACTCCAAGAAACTGCACTGCTGTGCTGAGAACAGTATCTCGCACAACCTCACTAAGACCTGCTTCTCCCTGAGATGGGCACAGCCCTGCACACAGGTGACTGCAGCCCCTGAGACCTGCCTGAACCAATGAAAACACTGCTCTGACTCTATGTTGGAGCTTCTGCTGAATTATACACTTTCCATCCAATTCTTATTTCTCTCAAAGGAAATCGGGACTGGTCTGTATATATTTTACACCAAAGGGAGATAAGCCACACAGTAGAGAAGGGACCAAATTAACCAGATACCGGGGACAGAACTCAAGTCTTTAGAATCCAGAGCTGGGCAAAGAAGGACAGACTGCTGCGCTCCCTCCAGAGAGAAATAAATCTTACGGTCTGATGCTACATGGAAAAAAACCAAAACGGAGAAGAAGCCATGGCTTTGGTTCATGGCTCTGTCACAATTAAATGGCAGGAAAGATAAGACAGCATCACAGTGTAAACATATTTCCAAACTCCGTGTTGTATGCCATGTATATAATTTTTGTCAATTTTAAAAAAAGAGGAGGAAAAAAGTTAAGGAGAAACCGGAGAGTCGTACAATTCTCAGGGAGAATTGCTTCCATGGGGAGAACTTCACGTCCACTCATTCCCAGGCTACATGTTCACGTCCAAAAGGACGAAAAGACTGACCCCGAGCAGGCAACCGCAGAGTCTGTCTACTTCTGGATCTGATGCTGGTAGCGTAGGTGGGTTCACCTTGGGAAAGTTTCTCATGTCAATGATTTGGGATCTGGATAATTTTTTGAATGTGTTCATGTGTTTACATGCATGTCATACGTATATATTTTATGCTTTAATAAAACCTTTCACTTTTTAAAAATTAAGAATCCAGGAAATACCAGCAGAGCCTGTATGGTTTAATGTTTTATCTTCCTTGGGAGGAAAAGAGTCCTAAAATTAAAATAATATTTGATGTTGTTATTCTGGAAATTAAAAAGTAAATGAGACTGCCAATACTGCTTTTTCAATTTAGTCAATATTTGAGAAATCTTTGATTTATTCCTCAGATCTATTTGATTAACTAATATCTCAGGTGTAAAGATCAAGGAAATCTGAGGCAAAGTTAGTAAACTAAACACAAGTAATTTTTTTCCTTCCTGGAACTACTGAAATGTCAGCAAAGCGACTTTTTTAGATATAAATCCACAAGGATCAGGAGAACAAACAAGAAACAGGCCAAAAAATGCTGGAAGCTCATTCGCTGGCTGAGGAGGCTGAATGCACAAAAGGCCCCCAAGAAACCCAAGTAAGCCTGGGGAGCTCACCAAAGGCTAAGGGACCAGGGGCTAATTATTAGGCTAAAATATGGGTTCTGATAGAAAGCCCCTTTAAGACACCAGCCCCCAGCACTCCAGCTGATTTCCCACAGCCAAGTGACTGCTATCACTGCTTCCCCAACTCCAGAAAAACGGAGGCTCATTCTCTGGAAAGCATAAAACAGAGAATATGAGGACTCTGGGAAATCAAGCACAACTGAGGGCAGAGATCTCACACAGAAAACAGAGAACTGAGGGTAAGTTACCAATACAGCTGTGACAGCCAGACTACACACCCTCCAGGCAGAAGACTTGTAGATTCTTTTCTGGTGACCTAACAGTCCAACAGAAAAGAGTTAAAAATACTGTCAAGGGGTTCCCTAGGAAATGGCCACACTAGAACATCCTACAATCAAAAAGCCTTACCCTTGGGGCTTCCAATCAGATAATGCCTGAGGAAAGCTTCCACCACTAAAGATGAGAGGAAAAAAAAGGGGGGGAAGTAGACTTTGGAGAGAAGAAAACACACAAGCACCATTGATATCTACAGAGAATCAAGAACACCATTAAAAGAACAAAAACTCTTGTAAATTCAAAATTTGACAATTAAAGGCAAAAAAAGACAAGTTGGAAATCTTTCCCACAAAGTTTTTTTTTTAAAGACAAAAGAATAGGAAAGAGAAGATTCTTTTTTTCAATTAGAGGACTAGGCCAAACTAGCCAAGGAGGTACATCACTTAAAAAAACAAAAATTAATGAAGATGTCCAGGAAAAAGAAGACAGAAATTAGAGGGGAAAAACACAAAGAATTCAAGAAAATTTCCATAAAATAAAGGAGGTTAGTTTCCAGATTTTAAGCCCCCACCACCCATACAATAGCACAGAGACTGTTATAAAAGGCATACAATTATGAAGCTTCAAATTACTGGAGTCAAAGAAAAGATTCCAGATGATCCTAGAAAGGAAAAGGCGACCCCATAGAAAGGCTCCAGATGGCTCAACAGCCAAAAGGGAAAGCAAAACTTCAAGGAGCAATGTCTCACTTTAAATCCTTAAATGACTTCCAACCTAAAACTGTGTGTCTAGCCAAGCTGTCAATAAAAACAAAAGTGGAAGGTGGATTTCTCAGTTTCAAATTTACTTGCAAAGAATGCAACTTTTCTCCCAGGCAACTTTTATGGCAAAGAATCCAAGGGTAGGGATCCAACAAAAGACAGGCTGACTGGTATAAAGAACAACCAGTTCATGCTGGAGTAAATCAAAACTGGACAAAATGACAACCAAAACACTGGGAAGAGGAACAGATAGCAAAAGTGCCAATGTGGAGAACTGGTAGGACACTGAGTGGGAGACAGTGAAACAAAGTTAAACCTCATCACTGAAATAGGAAGCCAATTCATAAAGTCTGAAAAACAAAGCACCAATCTGAGCATGCTAGAAGTCTGGAGAGAAGTATCAGAAGAATCAGCTCAGAGTTGAAAGTGAGTATCTCTGAGAATGGAGACAAAACAGGGTGAGACATGGTTGGTGATACTGTTTTTGGCAACAATGCAATAGCACCATTTGATGCTTTCAGTTACATTCATATTCAACTTTAATTAAAAGTTAACAACACAAAGATTACAGAAATGGACAGAATATCACCATCTGTAATAAGAAGAGAATAACACTGTTAAAAACCATTGATTAGGCCGGGCTTAGTAGCTCAGCCTATAATCCCGTGCTTTGGGAGGCCGAGGTGAGAGAATTGCCTGAGCCCGCGGGTTCGAGACCTGCCTGGGCAACTTGGCGAGACCTCATCTCTACAATAAAATTTTAAAAATGAGCCAGGCGTGGTAGCACGCGCCTGTAGTTCCAGCTAGCTGGGCGTGGTGGCACGCGCCTGTAGTTCCAGCTGCTTGGAAGGCTGAGG